AAAATGACAGAAAAAAGATTTTGACTATTTTATTCCGTCAATTTTCTGTCAGTCAGTTAAAAAATGTTCTCCAACATCTTTGCATGTCTTTATTTTATACTATTAATTTGAGTTATCATATGTTGGTGTAGCTTTTAATGTAATAAATATAAAAATAAAATATTTATACTATGAGCAATACGTTTGGTGCAGTGTTGAGGAACCAGTAATATTAATTAATAAACATGTTTTAAAAAACAGCATTTCTGTTATTATATTATAGTTTTAATATAAACAAATACCACTACTAATGATTAACTATAGAAAACATAGTACTTTTATAGGGCGAGGAATCGTATACGGTACAGATTTTCAAACTCGGTCCTGGAGGTCCGGTGTTCTGCAGATTTTAGCTTCATCCTTGCAGGTGTGTTGAGGCAAGTTTTTTCTAGAAAGCCTAGCCAGAGCTTGGCTGTTTCTCAATATGCGTTCTTCAGTGTTCTTGCGTCATCATCAACTGCCAAAGTTCAGTTCCAATACTCAAGACCAAATAACGGAGGACGTGTAAAACTTCCCAGATGTGTTCTTGATATTGAGGAAACATCGATGCAGACTTGAGCACAGAAGTCGCTCAAGAAGTACCAGAAGTCATTGTGGCTGAATAAAGGAGGTGGGAAGTGCAGCATTTTATATAGATTTATGGACCAGGGGGGCCAAGTCAGAGCACTCACTCTGGTCCCCCTGGCTCTGTGATTGGTTGTGGAAATTCCTAATGGATTCCTTTACTATTGGCTTAAGATTGGCAATCAAATTTTGGGACATTGCAACCTGCAGAACCAGGGAAGTAAAAAAAAAATATATATATATATATATATATATATATATATATTAGGGATGCAGTTAGCCCACGGTTCAATACATACCTTGGTTTTTTTTAACACGGTTTTCGGTGGCTTGACATGTTTTTTTTTTTATTCTATAGGCAATAGGAACAGTAAGAGGTTAAGGAGAAAAGAATAAAAACGCTTTATTGCAATACTCATTTTGTTTTACTTAAAAGCCAAGTAAAGTACACTAGTTCCTAGTGTATTTTATTTAAAAAAATTACACTGAAATCTCACAGCTGCTGGTAGCCCATGTACAAACTGGGGAACACATAAAATCCTACACCTTGAAATGAGTTTCCTCATCTCAGCTCATGGATTTAGAGGCCCACACAGTCAATTCTGGAAGATATAAAACGCACATAAATTATTTAAACGCAAAACCGAGAAAACCACAATTCACAAGCGTGATTTGAACCGTGGAGGTCGTACCGTACGGTTCAATAATATATTGAGAACTGTGGCATCCCTAATATATATATATATATATATATATATATATATATATATATATATATATATATATATATATATATATATATAATTATTATTAAAGTTCAGAGATATAACTTATTTACCTCAGGAGTTTCCTTAAATGAGACGATGAAAGAAAAGATCACCATGAAAATCTTAATAAAGGCATAAACACATTAAGGGAATTTATTTGCTGAAATTCATATTAAAATTAGTTTCATTTATATTGTTCAACGTATATTTGTAAGGTCTTTATGCAGAGTATATATTGTGAAGGGGAAAAACAATAAATCGTATGAATGTTGTAACGTTCAAATAATTTTCTCTTAAAAACACAAGAAGGTCACGTGACCATCAGGAAGAACGCAGCATCTCATTTCTCACGAGACGTGTTCTCTGTTCCCGCGGTCTCCCGAATTCGTTCTTCCGAGGTAACTTGGCAAGACCGGTTTTCACAAGAACGCGAGTCCGATCTCTGCGTTCTTGGAATTGAGAAACAGCCCTTGATTAGCTAGCCCAGGTGTGTCTGATTGGGGTTGGAGCTAAAATCTGCAGAACACTGGACCTCCGAGACCCCTGATATATAGTAACTTTATTGACTTTGATTACAATATTACTCTTTTTTAGAGTAATAAAACTTCAATGGTCCTGTAATAACCCTCAGTGACACTCCAGTTTTTTCCCCCACAATGAGTATTTTAATGTTTTTTAAAGGGTTAATGGATGCTTTTTGCATTTATGTTAAAATAAAGTGCAACCTGATTATGAAGTGTTACATATTCATATCGGTGTCGAACTGCTGTAAAGTTAATGATGACGGCCCTAGTCTCGGAGCCACCGCAAAGTCATAATAACCAATTTTGTACAATTTGCGTTCCTTTGTGTAGATCTGCAGGGTGTTTTCTTTGGTTTACATAGATTTAAAAACTCTCGTCAAAGGTACTGTTGAAATACACACACTGGGAATGTGAGCTTCGTCGTCGCTCTGTGATTTCCTTCTAGACTCGGATCAGGTTTGCAGCTCATAGAAAATGTTGGTGCCTTGCTTTATTGTTTTCTTTTCAGTGCCATCAAAACTGCACACCGAGTTACTGAGACAAAACTGCATTCATTACTTGAGATTCAGGTCAATAACTATATACGTTTTACTTAAAGGGACAGCTCACCCAAAAGTAGAATTTACTCACACTCAAGTGGTTGCACTTTTTATTCCATAAGATGCGCATGAACTATGATGGAAACACTTTTAACGAACAAATTCCAGTGTGTGCATTAAAAAAGGTCATGTGATTTTGTTAGAAGAGATCATGTGATGATCAAAATGTGTGTGAATGGACAAACCAGCAGGCTGAGCACATTGTAAAACATCTATAATGTTGTTTTGGTCATTCTGAAACGCCATAACCATTTAAATTTTGGTGTTATATTATTAATTACGTCCAGAATTGTCAAGAGCGTCTGCACTTCGCATCTCACACCTTCAAGCGTCCACTGCGTGTCGGCATTTGTCTTCTGAGGCACAAGTAATTGATTAAATAACTAAAAGATTCATGCAGCTTCTCCTACAGTAAATTCAGTTTTTACTGTTGATATTTTGCGCCAGTTAATCAGAAAGTGACGACTTTGTTCTCTTTGACTCATTGGATGGAAACGCTGCTTTATTTGCACGTCTTTTATGTGATATTACAGTTTTGCACATACATTTAATTCACATTTTTGGATGGGAACATAGCTAATGGCTGTATTTTGCCAACATTCGTCAGTATATCGTTATCTTAAGGCTGCGGTATACATCAAACTAATTAAAAAAGAACTTAATTTTGGCTGGATCTAGTTTGAAATCGCGAAAATTCAGTTCTTTTTTCGATTTCGTTTAATCTTAACCGGGATCTTCACATTGTGTTCAACAGAAGAAATTCAACCAGCAACAGATGAGAAAATGATGAAGGAATTAAATTTTTTGGGTGAACTATCCCTTTAACATCAAGTGGCATCTATAACCATTCGATCCTAGTGTGGGTTTGGAAACTTGTTTGTGCTATGTAATTATATTAGGCTTACAAGAGTTTTTCGCTGTACGATTCTCTCTCAGCTTTATAAATCTGTTGGTTTTTATTAGCTGTTAACTGGATAAAAAAACATGGCCATCAGTGGATTTTATACGGCTTCATGAGACGGTTCATGGATTAGAGCTGCCTGAGAAACATGTGCAGGTGGTTTAGGAATATTTTGCAAATGCGGAGCGCGTTTTATCTTTATACTGAAGAAAGAAATTATATTTACTACAGATTCAAATTTTAATTGTTTTTATATGTTCATGTTTTTTTTTCTTTCTTCTTTGTTATTGTCATGCACAGTGCTTGGTGTCGTGTAATATTAATAATAATAATTAAAGACGTATACAAATAAACCAGAATGAAGGATTCTTCCTGAGCTGGATTGTTTTGTGTGTGTTTGTGTTTCCATCAGTTTGTTGCATAAAATGTTCAGAAGTACTACTGTTTAATTTTTACTTTTATACTTTGATCATGTAAAACCTGTGTGTATCTGACTTATTTTAAGGGGACCTACTGTATTATGGCCCCATTTACAACATGTAAAATGAGTGTGTTTATGAAGTTTCAGCTCAAAATACCACACAAATAATGTTTTATAAATCTTTAAAATTGCCTCTTTTGGTCTTTGATCCTAATTGTGGCATTATGATGACTGTCGCTTTAAATTCAAATTAGATGGTGTTCTTTTTAAAAAAGGGCGGAGCTACAGATGCCTGTGTGTCAGTATAGTGGCAGATTCAAAAACAAGACTAGCATGCTATGCTAATGAGAGAAAGATTGTCACTAATGGGCGGGGCTTTCTCCCTCTGATGACACGTAAAAAGGGAGAATATTAATCAAAGTGTTCCTGCAGACTGTTATCAAGTGTGATTATAAAAAAATAACTTTAATATATTTTTACCATTAGAAGCTGGTTATATTCACAGACGGTTGCCACACAACTGTGTTTAAACCCCTTATAAGCATGATTTTTGCATAAGAGGTTCACTTTAACAGCCCATTTACACAAGGTGTCAGCGTCAACGCTTTCCATTCACTTTGAAAGGGTGACGTCAGGCATTGCCGATCTGTCGGTGCCGCGTCAGTGGCGTTGCTCTGCAGAAGTTTGTAAATTCTCAACTTTTCAAGGGCCAATGGAAGCGTCAGGAATAGCTTTATGCAAATACCTCAGCTCAGACAGTAGCCGATTGTGGACTAATTTCATTGGGTGACGCTGCATCAGCCCCAACTTCAGACACGTCCTCGGTCAAGCGTTGACGCTGAAGCCCCGTGTGAATGCACGGTAATACTCACCAACCACCTTTCTGTGCCTAATGCCATGAGAGGTTAAACTGACAAGACTTCAAACCATGCAAAAGGTTTGTTTGTTGTTCAGTGAGTAACTGAGGCACAAGCTCAGAAGGCTCCGCCTCTCTCCTATAATTGAGGGCGGGGAGCAGCAGGTCATTTGCATTTAAAGGGACTTTAACAAAAGAAAGGGCTTTTAGAGCATGGCATAATAATATTCTTAGCTGAATCTTTACAGAAACATTCTGGCAATACTTTAGCCAAAACATTATGCTATTTTTTGTGCCCGTAATAAAGAAAACACAACGCTGAAAACATATCAATTGCTGCTTGAACGTTTTATTAGTCAAAAAAAAAAACTACAGTGATGTTGGCAAAACAAAAAAAGTGAAGTGTGATACCGTAACATTTAAATTCACAACACGCAAAAAACAAAACCCTAAGTCCTCCATGATGTGCCTTCAATTCCGTTCCTCAAACTGAGATTTGTTCTTCAGTAAGAAAGCCGCTAAAAACTCGATGGGATTTGGAGGCCTGGAAGAAGATGGACAGTGAGATTAATTGTTTAATTAGACAAAAACTAATATAAATATATATTCGTCGCTGCATTACTGAAATCATTTTATTTTAAATAATGTCATTACGCTACATTCAGGTTCTAGAAGTAAAAAAACTCTACAGGGCAACTGATTTTTACTCTTGGTAACATTTAAAGACAGGCTGACTGTGAGCTCTGAGGTTGTTAATCAATGGTTTATGCTTTTGTTATAAGTTTTGTAACTAATTTTAAAAATGTAATTTTAATCATGTTTGACATTGGAATTTGTGCTGAAAAACTCTACCCATGATGAATACGGCATTTTCCGTTGCTCAAATTCACACCAATAGGATTTACATCAAGCACACCAAAAGAGCTTCAGCTCAGGACACTCCTACTATTAATTCAAGTAATATAAAAAAGGAAATCATTTTTAAAATAAGTTTATTTGTTTGCTTTAAATCATGTGGTGGTAAGTTTTCATACTGGTTAATTAGATTTCGTCTGTTAAACACAAAATAAGATATTTTGAAGAATGTTAAAAACCCGTAATCATCAACTTCCATAGCAAGAAAAACAAATATTATTGAAGTCAATGGTTACCGGTTTCCAGCTTTCTTCAAAATATCTTCTTTCGTGTTTGACAGAAGAAACACAAACAAGTAAAGGGAGAGTAAATGATGGCGGAATTTTTGTTTTTGGGCAAACTGTCCCTTTCTACACTAATACAGACCTTTCCTTGGCCAGAACCGACAAGCCCTGCAGGAGAATAGGAACCACCGTCTGATCCAGGTACGCTCGTGTGGGAAGAGTCTGCAGCGTCTGAGGGTCCACCTTCTGTTTGCCCACTTTTTCAGCAGTTTTCTCATTCTCCGCTATTCTCTGGAGAAACACACATGCGACCGAGTTTGAATAATAATATATCCAAATATTATTAATATAGCCAAAATGATGCCTTTAAAAAAAACAAAAAAACGATTCCATTGAAAAACAGGTCGATTAAATTGCCCAAACCAGCTTATAAGTTATTATTAATCAGGCTATTATTGCTGTTGTTGATATTTTTATTAGTTACACATTATATAAAATAAAGACTATGCATCGTTGATTATTCAATATCTGTACCTGAATTCAGTTAGACTCTCCAATAAAACTGATTAGAAATAATAAATAAAACTTTCGTCGTTGCTATATTGTATTTATCTATCCTTGTACATCATTCGAGACTCACTCCTTTACAAAATTACCCCAATCAATCTAAAATGTTGACATCTTCCCCCATAAAGCTGTTTAAGTCATCTGGTGAAACTGTATTCATATTACAATAAATATAGCAGAAAATCTAATTATTGCAATGTCAGATTTTTTCCAGTATCGTGCAGCCCTGTATTTAACTATTAGGTATTTCAATTATAGTATTTTAAGTTTCTATATTTCCGATACTCACCTCAGCTGCACATTTTATCCATAATTATTATTTTTTACACAGCTTTTAGTTGTTTTAATTAATTTAACGTTTCAGATATTTTCCGTTGTGTTTTGGTCATTTCTAACATGCAAATATTTTATTAAAGAACAACTTTTTATTTAATTATTCGTGTTTCTCAACCAAAACTTTTGTCAATGTAACAAAATGCAAACCATTTTACCTGGATGTTTTCGGTGAGGCCATATTCTGCATGGGGATTTTCTGGGACCTGAAATAAACAGAAAAACAAAAGGATAAACGCAAACTATCTTACTTTAAATGATCTTCAACTAATGATACTTACAGGAGTGTGTCCCTCCATGCTCTCCCCGGCATCAGTGTGTTCTGTAAGGGCCAATAAAATTAATTATTAAATCACAATAATCAGACCATTTCAATGTGGTAATGTCATTGGACTGCTTGTTATCAAACTATTTCATAACTGTAACAAGAGGCAATCCAATAATAAGTTAATGTTGAAACAGCTATCATAACATTATCAATATGTGACTCTTTTTGGATTCTCGGAAGCTATAAAATATAAAAAATGTAAAACAGGAAATATGCTGGGAGCACTGTTTTTGTTTACATCCCTCAAAATGGCGTATATTAAAGTTAAACGGTATCCTTACATTAATATGCTTCATTAATATGACTCAGCTTAATAAAACCGGTCGGTTTCAGTAGTGTTTGAGCAAATAAGTTAGTCATTTTTGCGACTGCACAATAAAACCGCCCATTAGGAAATAATAAATACATTCAATTTAACAACGAATACCTTGCAGTACATTAGGAGTCTAGTATATGTGCATGTGAAGTCACATACTGTAGTGAATGGCGGGATTCAATGGGCCACTGCAGAAAAGCTCATCACTTGAACAGCTTGAGCAGAGGTTTAACTCTCTCTATCAATTGCTTTCACTGAGGATATCTAGACGTTTAGTAAATTGGACAATATATGAGCGTAAGATAAAGAAAAAAGCTTAGAAACAGCACTTACCGTCCGCCATAGTTTGTTGTTGGTTTCTACGCAGTGGACGTTGCGCATGCGCAAAACGCGCGCTTGAATGACGCGACGTAGAATCTGAACCGGGCGTGGCCTGCAGAGACTTCTTGTTTGCTCTGGTCTGAAAATTGGTCCAATAATTATTTATTACATGCTCTGGCTGTTTGTATGAAGGACGAAACCTGCAAAAACAATAAATGAATAAATACACAAAGTAGTGCATAAATAAAACCACAAATAAATAAATACACAAATAAATGAATGAATGAATGAATAAATAAATAAATACGCCAATTCCTGCAAAAATTAAGCAATAAATAAATAAATATGCAAATAAATGAATGAATGAATGAATGAATGAATACACAAATTCCTGCATTAATACAGCAATAAATAAATAAATACGCAAATAAACAAATTAATTAATAAATAAATACACAAATTCCTGCATAAGGCAATAAATAAATAAATATGCAAATAAATAAATAAATTAGTACACAAATTCTTGCATTAATAAATCCATAAATAAATATGCAAATAAATGAATACACAAATCCTTGCATAAATAAAACACTAAATAAATAAATACACAAATAAATAAATAAATACACAAATTCCTGCATAAATAAAACAATAAATAAATAAATACGCAAATAAAAAAAATTAATGAATATAAATACACAAATTCCTGCATAAATAAAACAATACATATATAAATAAATAAATAAATAAATAAATACGCGCTTGCGACTTCTTTGACGTCATCAGCGCGAGACTGGTTTGCTCCAAACACACAAACAGCAGACTTCCGCGATCGATATAGGCGAAAACAAACCAGAGAGCCGGACATCGCCCTGGAATAAACTCTCCTTTCCCCAAACTCCCGGCCCGTTATGGTATGGAGAGCCCGAGAAGGGTGAATGAATTCTGGGCACAAAGCGAGACTCAGAGGAGGACGCGCTTGCGGTCCGGTGTCTGACGGGAGCGCGCGGGGGAACCGGTTGCTCTTTTACACCCGCTCCCTGTCCAGGGTCCCGGAGTGGTTGCTGCGGGTGCTGCTGCTGCTTCTTCGGTGGCTGTTTCAGCCGATTCGACGAGCCATGGCGGCCCGGGCCAAAGAGTGCGGCCCCGACGGCAGTGAAGAGACCGGAGAGCGGATCCGAAACTACCACAAACAAGCCTTCGAGTTCATTTCTGTGGCTCTGCAGATCGACGAGGACGAGAAAGGTACCTGACATTATATCTGTTGAGGTTAGGGCTGCAACTAACGGTTATTTTAATAATCAATTAATATGTCGATTATTTTTTGATTAATCGATTAATCTGATAAAAAAAAAAAAAAAATATATATATATATATATATATATATATATATATATATATATATATATATATATATATTGTTTACCATGCTACTTTGAATATTTGGTCTGAAATTACTTGAAAGTATGGCTTCAGAGCAACATTAGCACTATTTAATTGACTCTGAACAATGTTGTAATTAGATAGTCGTTGTTGCTAATATAGTTTCCCTATTTAGGATTTGCAAATAATACTTTTTTAAAATTATATTATTAAGGAAAAAGTCTGAACGTGTGATAATAGAAACAACTTTACCTCATCCTTTGATACTTATTGGCTGCTGATATGATTTCCTTATTTAGAATTTGCAAACAATACTTTTCTGAAATTATATTATTAAGGAGAAGGTCAGTATATGTGAATATAAAACTTTATATATACTTTATACTTAATACTAAAGAACTTTACCTCAAAATATGTTACTTAACACTTATTTGGCAGGTGTTTGAGTGTTTTTTGTAAAAAAAAAAAAAAAAGATAAATAGAGATTATGAACACATTTGTACGTGTACATTTTGATATATATAATGTTTTATTATAATATTATCGTTGTTAAATGGGGTAGTTCCACCAAAAATGAACATTTCCTCAGCCTTTACTCACACTAAAATCGGTTCTAAACGTTTGTGTGTTTCTTTCTTCTGTCGAACCGCAATGTTTGGAAAAGCAGCCATTGATATCCGTAGGGGAAATGAAAAATACTATGGAGGGTAATGGCTGCTTTTTCCAAACATTCTTCAGTATTTCTTTATTTGTGTTTGACAGAAGAAATGAATCCAGAGAGGTGTAGGATGAGGAAACGGTGACAGATTTTTTGTTTTAGGGGGAATCACCTATTTAATCCTATTTTTATTCAATCATTAATATTCCTTCGGCTTAGTCTCCATTTCAGAGGTCACCACAGCAGAATGAACCGCCAATCATATGTTTTATTGTTATGCAAATAACATAATATATTTAAATAATATATTATTATATTAATTGTATAATCTATGCAAAGTGTTTTAAGTTATATTACTGTTTCTCACTTGCAAATATTGCAATAAAGGACATTATTAACAGTTCATCTTTATATAATCATCTGTAGACCTGATTTTACATTCATTCAAGTAGGATATTATTTCTCCATGCTATATAAATAGTAATATAGTTTGTATTGTTTAGTCATTAATTGTATGTCCGTGATAAGAAGGCTTCATTTTGTTCTGTATAGGTTGAAGCAACAGGAAGTATTTGACTCCAGCATTTAAGCATGGTAAAGTGTGCCACGGGCTGTTTTTGCTGCTGGTTTTACTTTCATTTCCAAAGCTTAACATGATCATGAATAATGTTTGTCTCCAGCTCCGGGAGCTATACCTGATATTGGTGTCCAGTAGGTACTGGAAAAATGTGCAATGTTGTTAAATTTTACAATGACAACATAACATTGGGATTTTTATTTATTTTTTTAATAAATAACTGATCATACTAAAATAAACTATAAGGTATTTTTAGGGTATGATCAAATCTAATTCAGGCAAAAAGAAAAAGAAAAAAACAATGTTTTAAGGTGCAAACATTTAGACTTTAAACTACATGACTGAAAAAGTATGTAATTATATATTTAAAAAGTGTTTAATTAAATTGTGAGCTGGATTTGCTCCACTGCTCATATCATGTGGTCGTGTTGTTTTTGTCTGTGTAGTTTGGAGAGATGCCAGCAGCAGCATCAGTAAAAACAAAGAGCTCAGTTCAATAGCTTCATCATCATCAGCAGTGCTCCATCATGCCCAGGGCCACATGGCTGAGCCATGCATGACTTTTAGCACGTACTGATTAATTTAAGTAAATCTTTCCAACTTTCAGCGCTGACAATATAATATTACAGAATAAAACCTGTGATGTGAAACGTTTCTGAAAGTTTGCAAGTGGTCTGTGTGACCTTGTTGTGATAGTTTTTGTGGTGGCGGTCTTAATATTTACTGTGCTTTACTGTGTGTTATCTGTGTTTTGTTGTAGGTGATAAGCAGAAGGCGGTGCAGTGGTACAGAAAAGGCATCGCTGAACTGGAGAAGGGCATCCAGATTCAGGTCACTGGAGCTGGTGAGATTATTCAGTCATATTGATTTCTGTTAGTGTGTAAACATTATTACACGGCTTATTACAAAACTGCAAGAAGAAAGTCAGAATTGTCAGATGTAAAGGACAGCGTGTCTGTGAGCTCCTAATATGTCTTAAATTTTAAATATAAAATTTTAGGCCTCAAAAGTTCTCAAATTTTCTGATAAAATGTCTTGCAGGTCTTAAATCGTTTTAAATATTTATGTAAGTTTATTTATATTTAGTTTATTATAATTTTTAAAGCTTCTTCTTTTAAAGAAATCTGTTGAAAAAAGGCTTGTTTTGACTCATTATTTAAAATGTGGCTAAGATTCATTATTTTTTTATATGCCAAGTTATAGACATTTCTGATTGGCCCAACCAGGCCATCAGAATAACAATTCATTAGCATTTAACTGTTTAAATCTCAAATTTAATTCATAATGGTCATAAAAAGTCTTAATTTTCACTTGATGAAACCTGTAGAAACCCTGAAATGAAAAATATCAAAAATAATGTCAGAAATGTGAGATATAAGCTAAAAATTGCTAGAAAAAAGTCAGAAAGTTGAGGTGTACGCTTAAAATACCAAGAAAAAGATCAGAATTGTGGGACAAAAAGTCCTCTTTACCATAACATTTTTTATTCAGTGGTGTGTATTGCCTTCCATGTTTCTGTTTAGGAGTTTTGCACTTTCGTAGGAGCTGACAGAAGTTGTTAATCTGTCTGTTTTAGGCGAGAAGGCAGACAGAGCCAGAAAACTCCAGGACAAAATGATCACCAACCTGTCCATGGCCGAAGACCGGCTGAAGCTTCTGGGTAAGCAGAGACTGTGAGGATTAGGCCTGCATGATATTGGAAAAAAACAGACATTACCATATTTTATTTTTAATGCAACACACTTTGCAATTTTTGTGTAAATTTTCATCAAAGGATATAAATGGCTCTATTTATAAAGAAATCACCATTTTAGATAGATTGGGTTGATTCGGTGGGGGAATTAAAACTATTCTGTCGTTCTATAACGAGTCTTGCTATAATCATTCATCTCTCATTTATGCTCGTGATTGAGCATAAAAGGTGATCAAAGGTGAAGTGGTGTTTAATGTGTGACGTTCACATTATGGCTGTTTTATACTCTGTTAATAAAAGTAAGATAGGACAGAGCATTTTAAACATGCTTCACCTTTATTGAATTAATCATTGTTTACTGACTCTATTCTTATTCCTCTTTCAATGTATAACACTTTCATTGGGTTACTGTTTTGGGACTTGCTTAAATCTGCCAAGGAGCCAGTCAAGAAAATGTCCAGGTTACTCAAAACACAGCAAACAACGCCTCTGTTTTAATTGAAATCAAATTAAGCGGTTAATTTCCATTTCCATATTTATTCTGTGGCATTTGTTCAATAAAAAGCCCTACAAAGTGATATTTACCTTTTCTGTTATGCTTAAAATATTTATATGATAATAATAATAATTATTAAAATAAATATTATATAATAATAAGTGGCAGAAGGTCGATTTTTTTTTTTTATGAATTATCTGTTGAACTGCATTCCAATCATCACAAATACTGCAGAAAACCTATTGGAACCCTCATGAACCCAAGATTCTCATAGAAATCAGTCAAGTTTGGTAAAGGAAAAATCATGGTTTGGGGTTACATTCAGTATGGGGGCGTTCGAGAGATCTGCAGAGTGGATGGCAACATCAACAGCCTGAGGGATCAATACATTTGTGCTACAAGCCACAGGAGAGGGCAAATTCTTCAGCAGGATAGGGCTCCTTCTCATACTTCAGCCTCCTCATCAAAGCTCCTCAAAGCAAAGAAGGTCAAGGTGCTCCGGGATTGGCCTGCCCAGTCACCATGCATGAACATTGTTGGGCATGTCTGGGGTAAAATAAAGGAGGAAGCATTAAAGATGAGTCCAAAGAATCTTGATGAACTCTGGGAGTCCTGGAAGAGCGCTTTCTTTGCCATTCCAAATGACTTTATTAATAAGTGATTTGAGTCATGGCAGAGATGTATGGATGCAGTCCTCCAAGCTCATGGGAGTTGTACACAATATTCATTTTTTTCCACTGCAACATGATTTATTTATATTTTATACTGTACATTATTTCTGTTAAGTGACAAGACATTTTTGTAAGCAAAGTCAGACCTTTCTGTCCTAATTAAATAATATTATTGATAATATTTTGGTAAAATAAGCCTAATCTAGAGGATTAGAAGTTAGTATTTGTTGTTCCTAAAACTTGGATAGGCAACTTTTGTCAGGTAGTGTAAATATCTATAATGTTTTTAAGTGTAACCTGGACATATTCCTTGCTATTTTATCATTTCTTATCTGATTTTCTGTTGAGCTTTGATCTCTCCTGAGATATTTCTCTCTCTTCTTTCTGTTTTCTGTTCTTCCAACACAAAGGCAATCTGCTTTCACAGTCTCCAGCAGAGAGCAGCTCTGATGATTCTTTCTACTCTTTCTCCAATGGTAATCTGCGTCCAGGTGGGTGTGTATTTGGACTGAACAGGGGATTCTGGGAGATATGTGTGCTGTCTTAATGGCTCAGCAGAGAGACTAGAGTAGAGGTTGGCTGATATGTGTTTTTAGGGTTGATTCTGATTATTAAAGTTCAAGTAAAATGATTATCGATACTTTGAACTGATATTTAAGTTTGGTATGAAAATAAAGAATAAGGGCTTTGACAAGAGGCTTTTTAAAATGCTTTGAAACATATCTTTAAACCATTATAATTGTATTATGGTCAAGTATATGCAAAGCTAAACGACGTAGCTTTTTATTCTGCACTGAATACCATAAAGTAAGGCATTTTATTGCTTCGTAAACGTGTGAGAAGACATTATGTCACTGAAGAATTTTATTTAAAAAATTGACTGATGTTGTGCAGTGAGTTTGGATGAAAAACACAATATTAAATATTATTTGTTCTACACAAGGTTAATAAATGCTTCTTGTGTTTCAAAAATGTGTTGCTTTTTCAAATGTAATGCAGATTATTAGCAACTTTAACTTTTAGTGCTTTCAGATGGAGCAGCATTTACTGCTGGTTTACTACAAAATTCAATTATATTATCTTTAAATCAGTTTTTAAATTGACCGATACGGATAACCATACATATGTTTAAAATTGACACTGGTAATTTATCAACCCCTATTCTAAAGTTGCATTTCTAATAATGTACATCAGGCTTTTAAATTGACCAATACAGATAAGCTAAAATATGTTTTAATATTGGCACCGATAATCAGTCAACTGCTGTTCTACAGTGACAATTCTATAAATGTACATTGTTTTTTTTTGTTGGCTGATACAGATAACTATAAATATGTTTAATATCGGCACCGATAGTCACCGATAATCACCCATTCTATAGTGATCTTTTTATTAATGTACATCATGTTTTTAAATTGACAGATAAAGACAACCTAAAACATGTTTAATATCGGCACCAATAATCAGTAAACCCCTATTCTAGGGTGATATTTTTATGAATTTACATCATGTTTTTAAATCGACCGATATGGATAACCATTATTGTTTTATATCGGCACCGATAATCAGTCAGCTATTCTAGAGTGACATTTCTATAATTCTACATGTTTTTTATTGACCGATATAGATAACCATAAGTACATTTAATATTGGTCAACCCCTTTTCTAGAGTAACATTTCTATGTACATCAGGTTTTTAAATTGACCAATACAGATTACCATAAAAATGTTGAATATCGGCACCGATAATCAGTGAACCTCTATCCTAGAGTGACAATTCTATGAACTTACATCATGGTTTTTTCATTGACCAATACAGATAACTATATCAGCACTGATAATTGCTCAACACAGCTATTCTAGGGTAACATTTTTATGAGTGTACATCTGATTTTTAAATTGATGATACAGATAAACATAAATATGTTTAAAATCGGCACCAATAATCAGCCAACCCCTATTCTATTATGACATTCCTATGAAAGTACATTATGTTTTTAAATTGACAAGTAGATATAACCATAAATATGTTTAATATCGGCACCGATAATCAGTCAATTCCTATTCTATAATGACATTCCTAGGAAAGTACATTATGTTTTTAAATTGACAGATAGATATAACCATAAATATGTTTAAAATCGGCACCGATAATCAGTCAACCCCTATTCTATAATGACATTCCTAGGAAAGTACATTATGTTTTTAAATTGACAGATAGATATAACCATAAATATGTTTAAAATCGGCACCGATAATCAGTCAACCCCTATTCTATAATGACATTCCTATGAAAGGACATTATGTTTTTAAATTGACAGATAGATATAACCATAAATATGTTCAATATCGGCACCGATAATCAGTCAACCCCTATTCTAGTGACATTTCTATGAATTTACATCATATTTTTTTATTGACTGTTACAGATAACCATAAATATATTTAATATCAGCACTTCTATTTTATAGAAGTAGCACTTCTATAAAAGTTCATTGTTTTTGTTTTTTTAAGTAACCAATGCAGATTACCAAAAAAAATTATATCGTCTATGAACATGTCTTTGAATGTTTAATGTGTTTTTTTGTAGCTCCAGCCAGTGGAGCAGTCTCCAAGAAGAAGGACACTCTCACAATCACAAATCAAACTTCTCTGCGGCCCAAAAATCCTCCCAAATCTACCCCGAATGCATCAGGTCTGAACTGCACTCCCTCAGCAGCTCAGAGCAGCAGGACCGGCCCTCAAAACAATCAGAAGGTTTGTCTCACAGGGTCCGACTTCACATTCTGTCTATACAGGGAGCTCAGTGTGAACTGTGTTATTGTGTTTTGTTTTTTTAGGGGCCCACAGTCAAAGGCAAAAATAATGTTAAAGCCAGTACCACTGCCACTGCGTCACCTCAAAGGAAAAGAGACATGAAGAACTTCAAAAATGTGGACAGCAAACTGGCAAGCCTCATCCTCAACGAGATCGTGGACAGGTAGAGTTAGAAACATTAATATTTAAGTGTTGAATCTTGCTATGTTTTAATACAGATTCAAGTATTGATTTGTATAATCAATATTTAGGTTTAGGTGCATATTGCAGTTTATTACAATGCATTATTGTTTTAGTGCTATAGTTGATTACTTTAAATGTTAAGTATATTAAAATAAAAAAATATTAGTCGTTTCTTCTACATAAAGTCATGTTTATGTATTGTATATTTCTTTTTCCGTGCAAAATTAAAATAATCCTTTATAATATTGATTTTAAACTGCTTTCTTCTAGAATAATGTATTTAAATATAAAATTATTTTAATTAGCAATGTTTGGGTGCATATTCCAAACATTTATTTTATGTATTAAGTTAACTGCTTAATATTTTTACTAATATTTTTTACCCCAAATTTTCTAATAGTAGTTTTTCCCCTAAAAATAACAAGCAAATAAATACTCTTTGACAAACCGTGATAATAATGTTAGTTTCTGTTGGATCATGTGACAAATATCACAAAATTATGTGGTGGAAAAAAATTAAGAGTTTTCACGTTGAAGCTGATGTTTTGTGTTGTTGTGTGTGTGTGTGTGTGTGTTTCAGCGGGTCTGTGGTGAGGTTTGATGATATAGCAGGACAGGATTTGGCCAAGCAGGCGCTGCAGGAAATCGTCATCCTGCCTGCCCTACGTCCAGAGGTCTGTTTTCACATCTCTCAACATCTGTACAGCCTCGAGCTGCTGGAGTTATTAAAGATCTGAGCCCCTTTCCAACAAATCTGATTTACAGGGATAATTCATCCAAAATGAAAAATCTGTCTTCATTTACACACCCTCAAGTTGCTCCAAACTCTTTGAGCATCTGTAGGACAGGCAACTGTTGGATTATGCTCATTCTGTATTCAGATATATTCATTTGTGATGGATAAAATTTACAAAATGACCACTTTAAACCCAATATGAGGGATTATCCACAGTGTTGAACCAATTAAGCATGTTCTACAAAACTGGGATTACTGGCATTGTTGCATTTATAATTTTACGTCATTTAGCCATTTAGTCATTTAGCAGACACTTTTGTCTAAAGCGACTTGCAATTGAGGAGGCATTCAGTGATTCAACAGGTCGAGGCAATACAAATCAACAAGTGCTAGTTATACAAATAATTGTTAGTTCTCAGAGAATTAAGTGCTAGAGTTAGAAAGGGGGAGTGTTTTTTGTTTTAAAGAGAGAGCAAAGTGTGTTTTTACAGGTGGTTTGTCAAGCCCACTCACCAGTGCAAAGCTCACTTCATAAATGTAGTGTTTTTTTGTTTTGTTTTTTAAGATGTGTGGTCATAAGAAAGTGTCTTGTGCAAAACTGGTGCAATTGTTTGTTAAAGTGTCAGAGAGATGAAAGGGTGTGTTTTCTACAGGTGGTTTGTCAAGCCCCTCACCTGTGTGAGGCACGCTCAGAATTGCATAATGTTTTGAGGATGTCATGTGGTGTGGTGGGGTTTTTAGTTGTTGTTTGAATGATACTAATGAATCAGGAGTCCCTATGGGAATGGGAAGATTGTTCCATCAGCGAGGAACATTGAGTGAAAAGGTTTTTATTGACTTTTATGTGGATCTCCTCAGTTGTTTACTGGTCTCCGGGCTCCAGCTAGAGGACTCCTGCTCTTCGGCCCTCCTGGTAATGGGAAAACCATGCTGGTAAAACTCCAATAATATATAGTTTGTACATTTGTGTATATTTGTATGCCATAGCTCAGAACAATAATTGAACTTCTCAATTTCCTTATAGGCGAAAGCCGTCGCAATGGAATCGAATGCTACTTTCTTCAACATCAGCGCTGCCACTCTCACCTCCAAATATGTGAGTATTCATCAGATGTTGCATAGAGACCACATACAGTTGACTAATGTGATTTATTTCTCTAGAGAAGATTGGCATATTTGGTGATGGCTGATTTCGAAACACTGCTTCATGTAGCTTTCAAAGCTTTATGAATCTTTTCGAACTGTTTCAAATCAAATTGGTCTCATGGTGCGTATCAAATCGGCATGGTCATGTGATTTCAGAAAACAGGGCTTTGATTTGTAACTTCTGTTTTAAAAGGTTTCAAAAATGTAATGGTGCTTTGCTTGGGAGTGATCTGAATAATACCATATTATTATTCATAAGGATCACATGGCTTCGATCAGATCGGCGTACAGGTTTCAGTTTTTACCTGTTTATTAAAATAAAAAACCTGAAAAATCACATGGCATTTACATAAGTATTGACAGCCTTTGCTGTGAAGCTCTAAATTGAGCTCAGGTACATTTTGTTTCCACTGATCATTCTTCAGATGTTTCAGCAGCTTAACTGGAGTTCACCTGTGGTAAATTCTGTTGATTGGACATGATTTGAAAAGGTATACACCTGTCTATATAAGGTCCCAGGGTTGACAGTGCATGTCAAATCACAAACCAAGCTTGAAGACAAAGGAATTGTCTGTAGATCTCCGAGACAGGATGGACTTAAGGTACAAGGCTGGTGAAGGTTACAGAAACATGCTAATCTGAACGTTTCAATGAGCACTGTGGCCTCCATCATTCGTAAGTGGAAGATGTTTGGAACCACCAGGACTCTTCCTACAGCTGGCCGGCCATCTAAAGTGAGTGATCAGGGGAGAAGGGCCTTAGTCAGGGAGGTGATCAATAACCCGATGGTCACTCTGTCTGAGCTCCAGTGTTCTTCTGTGGAGTGAGGAGAACCTTACAGACGGACAACCATCTGTGTAGCAATCCACCAATCAGGCCTGTATGGTGGAGTGGCCAGACATAACATGGACATGGTGGTGGCAGCATCATGCTGTGAGGATGTTTTTCAGCAGCAGGAACTGGAAGACTAGTCAGGAGGGAAAGATGAATGCAGCAATGTACAGAGACATCCTAAATGAAAACCTGCTTCAGAGTGCTCTTGACCTCAGACAGAGCGCTCATCTTCCAGCAGGACAATGACCCAAAGCACACCACCAAAATATCAATGGAGTGGCTTCACAACAACTCTGTGAATGTCCTTGAGTGGCCCAGCAAGAGCCCAGAACTAAATCCTATTGAACATCTCTGGAGAGATCTGAAAATGGCTGTACACTGTCGCTTCCCATCCAACTTGAAAGAGCTTGAGAGGTACTGCAAAGAGGAATGGACAAAAATTCCCAAAGACAGGTGTGCCAAGCTTGTGGCGTCATATTCAAAAAGACTTGAGGCTGTAAATGCTGCCAAAGGTGCATCAACAAAGTATTAAGCAAAGGCTTTGAATACTGATGTACATGTGATTTTTCAGGTTTTTTATTTGTAATAAATTTGCAGCAATTTAAAAAAATCTTCTTTCACGTTGTCATTATGGGCTATTGTGTGTACAGTTCTAAGAAAATTAATTAATGTAATTCATTTTGGAAAAAGGCTGTAGCAAAAAAAAATGTGAAAAAAGTGAAGTTCTGTCAATACTTTCCGGATGCACTGTATAATCCTTAAAAATGTTTAAAAAAAACATTTCAGACACCTAATATTAGATGATATTACAATATGAGGTTATACTTTTAATTTAAAGTTTGCAACATGTTTGAAAAATATGTTTGTAGTCCATTTGAGTTTTTTTTTATCTGCATTTACACAGTTTTGACCAGCAGGTGTCCCTAGCACATGTCCTTTCGGACACTTCAAAGCTTTAAAAAGAGGATTTTTAGATTAATTCAGATGATTTTTGGTGTATAGAAAAGATTTTGATGTTCACCAAAGTAACTGAAAATATTTTTTCCAGCATCGGCCAAGCCGGTTGACCTGTACATTTTTTTATCATAGCATGCTAATCTCTCGCTTATGCTAATCTTAATTGATTAAATGGTTAGCAAGATAACTAATGCTGTTGTGTGTTCGTTCTCACTCTGAAAAGCATCAGAGAGAGATGGTGTGTCCTCACCATGATAGTCAACCAAACCAACAGAAGGTTATCTGAAGACGACTGTATCTCTTTCCTTCTAATCTATCATTTTTTTAGCATGCAATAATTTTTCCACTATATCAGAACAAGCATGTTGTTCAGCAGCCGAATGGTTTTGTTCAAATACTGAATGCTGCAACTTCTGTATTGTTGCTTTTATTATGCTAAATGAGTTCTATATATACATGTGTATATATAAATATTTATACAGTATCATTAGTTGCTGTTTTATAGGCTTCTTCTGCTGGTCCATGTGATTTGGCGTTTGCTGAATGTTACTGTTGTTAATACATCCATCTTTTTATTTGTGTCAGAATGTTGTTTATTATATTACTCTTGCTGTGGATTTATATGCTGCTTTCTGTGTGTATGTGTGTGTGTGTTCAGGTGGGAGAGGGAGAGAAGCTGGTTCGAGCTCTGTTTGCGGTCGCTCGAGAGCTGCAGCCGTCGATTATCTTCATCGGTAAGAACTGAGATTCAATCCTTTTAGCTTCACGTCTCGTATGATCTGTGAATTGAAAATACACATATAATATGTCCATTTCCCAAAAAATGCCTGTTTATTGCAAAAGCATTTTTACACTCACATTAGGTGTTGGGCAACATTATAAAAGAGTATTTCACAAAACAATTTTGTCTTTATTTATTTTATTTTTTTTTGCATGTCACATCCTGTGACATATTGCTATGCATTTATAGTACAAACGGGTTCTCTAAGGGCCGGTACACACCAAGCTGATAACCAAACCACTAGAGCAGACGAAACCTAACTGTGTTGTCGCCTTAAGTCTTAAGTCTGGACCAAAAAGCTGCCCCTGAGCACACCAAACAAATGACGGCCGACTGAAATGACAGTGTGCCTTCTGCACCTGTGTGGGTTGACCACTGTGCACCACTGGGGGGCAGTATTCACTTTCTCCTTTACAATGGGAAACCAAAACTTCCAACGTGTGCGTGCAAAGCATGAACAAAATCACAGTATTTGTCACTCACCACATAGGGATTCGCTCATGCAAATATAATAATCTAATAATCCACATAGTTTGCAAATATTTGAGAAATATAGCGAAATTACAGCCTTGAATTGACTTGAATTGTTTACTTGCCACTTCACTAAATCACACTCACATTCTGATTCATGGCTGAATAACCAATCAGAGCGCTCTCTTTAGCTGATGGCCCGTTGCTGATTCTTGACGCTGAGTTGGCCTAACAAGCTCAGACGTTATCCCCACAAGTGGAACAAACCAAACCAATTAGCTGGAACCGACGCTTCCTGATGTCCCAACGAAGCCCAACGACTGACCAAAAATTGTATATTTATTTAATCGGATAATATGTTAGCTAGCTGTCTCTAAATCTAAAGATTTATTGGTTATCAGTATTGGTCAAAAATTCCACATCGTCTGCATCAGTGGTGTTGTGGTTAGTGTGTCGACACATGCACTCATGGCTACCCGAGTTCGATTCCCACCTCACGGTCCTATGCCGATCCTTCCCCTGTCTCTGCTCCCCATGCTTTCCTGTCAATACTCTCTATTCTCCTATCCAATATAGATGAAAACCCTGAAAAAATTATTATATATAAATATACAAGTAAAAAAAATGTACATCCCTAAAAGAATCCTAAACAGGTTTGAAAAAAAGGAGGATGAGTAAATGATGATTTATTTATATGAAATAATTAAAGTTTCCCAGTACTGGGTTGCAGCTTGATGGGCATCCGCTGTGTAAAAACATATGCTGGAATATTTATTTATTTATTTTTTTTCAAAGATTTATTTTTGGCCTTTTTGCCTTTATTATATAGGACAGTATTGAGACAGGAAGCGACGTGGGGGAGAGAGAGAGGGGGGTAGGGAAATGTCCTCGAGCTGGGATTCGAACTCGCGACGCCCTGACGTGCTATTGCACCATATGTCAGCGCGCTAACCACTAGGCTATTACGCCGACATATGCTGGAATATTTGGCGGTTCATTTCGCTGTGGCAACCCCTTACAAATGAAGGACTAAGCTGAAGGAAAATAAATGAATGAAATAATTCAAATAAGAATATTACAATTTTCATTTTTTTCATTTTTGTGTGAACTAGCCCTGTAAAGTCATTTTGCAGTTGTTAATTTTTTTAAATCAACATTTAGGAAATGTCTGAAATTTGTTATATAAGTGTCTCTATTGATGGCAATTTGATTGCAGATGAGATCGACAGTCTGCTGTGTGAGAGGAGGGAAGGCGAACACGATGCCAGCAGACGACTCAAAACAGAGTTTCTCATCGAGTTTGATGGAGTGAGTCTGTGTGTGTTTATATCAAACATCATTTCTGCTTCTCCATCACGTGCCTGATGTGTGCGCGCTTGTGTGTCGCTTGTGTGTCGTAGGTGCAGTCAGGTGGAGATGAGCGTGTGTTAGTGATGGGAGCCACTAACAGGCCTCAGGAGCTGGACGAGGCTGTTCTCAGGTAAAGTTTCCCACAAGCACAACGCTTTTTCACTGCCTGCTTTAAATGCTTTCAGTCAGCAATAAATATAAATGTCAGAATTTGACAAAAAATGACTCGAGGCTTGTAACAGCTTATACATTTTTGGGGACCTGGCAACCATCAGTTTTGACTGATATTGACTGTTAAATTAAAAAAAGAAGAGTTTAAAGAATAGAAAGCTGATGACATGAATATGTCTGAGTGAAAAAAAGTTTCATTTTTCTTTTTACATTAATTATTATTCTCATTATAATAATATAATAATAATTATTGTTCATAAAGACTTAATAATTCTTCATTCACTAATGGTCCTGTTCGGGTTTTTTTTTTTTTCGACAGGAGATTTGCTAAACGCATTTATGTGGCTTTACCTACAGAGGAGGTATGCTTGGGAAAAAGTTATTGCTTCATTTTCCGCTGCATATTATTCAGTGATTTAAAAAAAAAACTAATCAAATCCTATATACACTAGTTTAAAAGGTAGTGTCATTTTTGAAAGGAATGACTTAATATTATTATAAACTCTGTGTGTGTGTTTGTCAGACTCGACTGAAGCTGCTGAAGAATCTCCTCAGTAAACACAGAAATCCTCTGTCTCAGAAAGAGCTCAGTCAGCTGGCCAGGTAAAACCCATTCTGCTGTGTCCAGTGTGTGTATTCACTGGGCTTTTACATGTGATTGTGTGTGTTTTATTTATTTATTTGTTTAAGGCTGACCGACGGTTACTCTGGCAGCGATCTCACCTCTCTGGCTAAAGACGCTGCTCTCGGCCCGATACGAGGTGTGTTAAATCAGACGTTGAGTGTTTATTAACGGATTAGTTTTTGGTTTTGGTGTTGAACGTTTTGCCTGATAATTGTTCCTCATCACAGAGCTGAAGCCGGAGCAGGTGAGGAACATGTCAGCCCATGAGGTACAGCGTTTGCTCTTCTCTCTATTCATTTATGTTGAAGTCGGCGTGAAATCCACAATCTTTATTTTGCTAGCGTACATTGTTAAAAAACTTTTTTGTTGATGGAAATCTTTTTTTCACACAAAACCACAGTAAACATTACACTTTCCTTCTTTCTGTTTTTGCTTTTAAACCCAAGACCTGAACATCCCAAGGCAGCTAAACAAAATAATTAGGGTCAAATGCAATAAATGCATAGCCATGCATGTCGTGTCATAACAGTGAGGATGGGTTAAAAAAATGACAATTAAAAGGGCTACAAAAAAAACTACATTCAAGACAAAACAACATCAAGCAGATACAAAGAGATTACAGATACAGATTCCTTAACAGCTGGGTGATTCTTTCAGATTTTAAAAACATGATAAAATAGTATCATATACAATAAAAACTAGTAAAATAGTTTCAAAATAAAATGTAGATGTTCCCAGTACATACAAAACCTGTCTAGTTTTAGAAAATTCTTTAGGTAAACAATTAATCCGTGCAAGAAAATCCACTAATAAAAAATAAGATTTGTTTTGGTAATCTACAATCAAAGTTTGTACATTTGGTTCTGCATTTGGATAGCCGGATCTTCTCCGATTTGCTTCAGAGTATATATGTATTAAAATAAAGTAATAAAAAAAAGAATCATCTCCACTCGCTTTTCTTGGAAGATTTGCTTGTTCTGCTTATGTTTTCATTAAGGATAGGCGTCACTTCTTTCTTGTATATAAAATAAAAAAAATGATCGGACCTCATCATCTACATGTCACTTTCCGCCATTTTTGTAATCGCAAATCTGTTAAAGCAAAATCACATGACGTTTGATGTGTATGCTGGAATTTCTTCAATAAATGTGTTTCCATCGCAGTTGATGTGCATTTTTTCTGATTGGATAAAAAGTTTTTTCTTCTCAGCTGAATTTCTAAATTTATGTGCCTCTTGGCGTTTCCATCCAGGTTTTTTTTCATAAACATAGGTGGATGGAAACGAAGCTGCTGATACTTGTATTTCTATTTTACATGCAGTTTCTGAAAACATGTAGGCTAACAATAAATTTAAAGTCTGCGTGAACCGGAAGTTGCTAAGACTTTTATTTCAGTGTGTTGACGTACTTCCAATAGAAACGGAATATTGAGCAGGGGGTGGGGCTTTCTTTTTCACATCATTCCCTCGTAGCAAACTGAAGCTGCGGTCACACTGGGCTTTTCCTCCCATAGACTTCCATTCATACGCATGCAAATGCGTCAGACTGGAAACGCAGGGTCATGCGTTAAGTTTCGCAGGTAGCTGCGGTGCAAAGTTCAAGCATGGTGAACTCTGACCTCCGAAATCGCATCACTTTAATCGCACGACAGAATTTCGTATTATCAAACTCTATTGTGTGTGCAGCTTAACAGTAAGAGGGGCGTGGCTAAGAATATTGTGTCTGCAGTGTCAAACTGAATCACAGAAGACTCAGCTGTCCAAACGCAGAAGCGAATGCTCAGACTTTGATTGAAGATTACCAAAACAAACATTTATTATCAGTGGATTAACTTATTCACCAAAACAGTAACAATGTGCGCTAGCAAAATGAACATAGTAAATGTGTTTCCCAACCCTGTTTCTGAAGGCACACCAACAGCACACATTTTCAACCCTAATCAAATACACCTGAATCAACTCATCAGAGCATTAGAAGAGACTCCAAAAGCTGAAGGTAATGGCTCAGATAAGGGAGACGTCCAAAATATACTGTTGGTGTGCCTCCTGGAACAGGCTTGGGAAACACTGCTCTAGCATGTGCAGTTTTTCATCACATCTGTGTGTGTGTGTGTGTGTGTGTGTGTGTGTGTGTGTGTGTGTGTGTGTGTGTGTGTGTGTGTGTGTGTGCAGATGCGTGACATTCGCATCTCTGATTTCCTGGAGTCTCTGAAGCGGATCAAGCGGAGCGTCAGTCCGCAGACCTTGGATCAGTACGTGCGCTGGAACCGCGAGTACGGAGACACGACTGGCGTATGACAACACGCGCTTCAACCACAGATGCGGAAGAACCTTCACGAAGTGAATCTTTCTGTCTTTTTCATGGCTTCACTTTTGACCCGGAACATTCATTTTCTCTGAGATTCTGACTGAGTGTTTCTGACCGCAGATGACATTCAGAGGATTTTTTATGCAAACTTTTGAACGTTTCTTGATGAGTCTAATTCTGCACCTTGATTTGAGTATAATGAGAAGCACTTGTGATCGGGAGTTTCTGTGCTGTGTGTCTCTTCTTTATGTGTTTCACAGGAATCAGTGTGCTGGGGTTAATCTTACAACACGCTTGAAGATTTAAGGATGAATAAAGGATGTACATTTGGCCTGATATGACATTATAAACACTCCTAAAGTTTCAGCAGGGGGCGTCATCTCAGTGTCTTCCTCAAGAAACTTTCCTGATGTAGAAATGTTTTTTCCAAGTCTGCGGTTTTTAATGATGTCAGATTTTGAAATGTTGGGATTTGATTTGTTTGTAAAGTGCATCAAAGATTTATATAAAGCTTGAGTTTACTGTGGTGGTGTTTTCAATCCAAAACGTTTGGAAATAGTTGAAATAACTCATATTTCTCATGTTAAACAGGGAGAATAGCAATATTTTTGAGCAATTTTGTTGAATATTTGATCCAAACTCTACTTTTCTCAATTCTGAGTGTTTCACAATTGAATGAAAATGTGAGAATTGTGAGATTTAAAGACAATTATACACCCTGTAAAACCCAATAAGTTAAGGTAACTCAAACCATTTGAGATTAACAATTGCCACAAACCATTTGAGTAAAAAAAAACTAATCTATAAGAGCACTGTGAACTTACTCCATTTAAGTTGAAGTAATGACGTATTCAATAAACTTATTATGAACTCAACACTGAGTTTAAAACTCTTTTCAAATGAGTAGAATTAACTTTCAGTACATTTTGAGTTAACTACACTCATTTCATTTGATAAAGTTGACTGTTGTGCAGAGATAAAAAAAACTAAACTAAAAACAACGACTAATTTTGAGAGGATAACGTGCTTATGATTTATCACCGCCGGTCTCGTATTTGCTAATCACTATCTTCCAATCATATGAGCCCTAAGCTACTATAAATAACCACAGTTTTCATTTCATTTTATCTTCGTTTGGAAGAAATCCCCCTTCCTCCCCTATTCTCCTCCTTTACCACTGATTGGGCGGCACGGCGGCCCAGTGGTTAGCACTTTGAGCCCCACAGTTAGAACACTGCCAGTTCTGGTCCCGCCAGGTCGGTAGGCGTTTCTGTGAGGAGTTTGTATATTCTCCCCGTGTCCGCGTGGGTTTTCCCTGGGTTCTCCAGTTTCCTCCCACCATCCAAAGACATTCAACATGCATAACAATCAAGCACTTGTCTACCCCCTTTTCTCACGTGTTCCCTTAGCTACTGCAGCCGGGGAGTTCTGAGATCCACCGAGCTCAGGCTCTCGTCTCGCTCTGCCAACGGGAGGAAGCCCCAGCCTCGAGGATCCCTTGAGCTAGGGGCTCTCTCCCGGGACAGCATGCCGAACAAGCTTTTGATAGGTCATCAGCTAAGTGTGAACTCTTGAACCTTGATAAAAACATACAGATATGCTTAATATTATTAATAAGGTTTAGTCATTTTGGTGAAAATGTGAATTTGTTGTGTTGTGCTATTTTTGTCGACAAATTTTCTAAATATGTCTCTATAGCTTTTGTTGCACAAACTTTTGGAAATATTTGAAACTACTCCTATTTCTTACATTTCATGAACGGGGAGATTAGAGATATTTCTGAATGTTTGAAAATATTTGGCCCAAACTTGGAAAGAAATGAATACTTTCTCACAACTCTGAATGTGTTTCACAATAACCTGAAAACGTTAGAATTGTGAGATATGATATAAAACAAAAACTAGAATTATCTTGTTCATAAGCTTGTTTTACTAGTTTTTAATTTTTATCTGCTTTAGTAATTTTGGTTAAGTTCTTGTTTTGGTTAAGTTTGTTTGTTACATTTCAGATTAGTAATATTTAAAAATATTCATTAATTGAATTTGGAATAATATGAAGGTGTCCGCTGGGTTTTAAAATGTCTTAAATTTTTAAAACCTAATTTTTAGACCTTAAAAAGTCACTGACATAGTGTCTTGTAGGCCTTAAATCGTTTTAAACAGGTCTTTTGCTTTGCCCAAGTAAAGCTACTCAACTTGGGCCGATATCCATCCAATGACCAACAAAACATCTCGATAAAACCTTATTTTTTTTACTTGTTTCTATTGCAAAGAGATCCAATTCACAACAGCTGTTTTTACTTCAAATCCCCCAAATTAAATTCCCTAATCAGGGAAAATAAAAACAATTACACAATTCTTCATAATACTGAGCCATTAGAAAAAGGAAAATATCCTTTACCCAGCTATAAGGCTACAGTTTCAGTCCTGATGCTCTCACAATTCTTTTTTTTTTTTCCTCAATTGTGAAATATACACTCAGAATTGTGAGAAAATTGACTTTGTCCACATAAATATTCAAAATTTTATGAATTAAAATTAAAAATATATTACTAATTTGTAATAAATAATCTTACTAATCTGTAAAATTAAACTATTTACTAATAATAAATGATACAGACATTCTTAAGCATGTATGTATGTTATTTCCGTAATTTTGGTTAAACTTAATGAAAATGTGTTCGTTGGTTTTTCATTATTGTTATGCTTTAAGGGAAAAAATAAAGTGTTTATTATTTCACCCTTATATATTCATATATGCTGGTGACACAGTGGCTCAGTGGTTAGCACTGTCACCTCAGAGTAAGAAGGTCGCTGGTTCGAGTCACAGCAGGGTCAGTTGGCATGTCTGTGTGGTTTGCATGTTCTCCCCGTGTTGGTGTGGGTTTCCTCCGGGTGCTCTGGTTTCCCCCACAGTCCACAGATATGTGTAGGTGAATTAAACTAAATTGTCCGTAGTGTATGAGTGTGATTGTGAGTGTGTATGGATGTTTCCCAGTACTGGGTTCCAGCTGGAAAGGCATCCGCTGTGTAAAACATATGCTGGATAAGTTGGTGGTTCATTCCGCTGTGGCGACCCCAGATGAATAAAGGGACTAAGCCAAAGGAAAAATGGATAAATTGGTAAAGAAAATGCTCAGTCTGGTTTTCCTTTGACTTGTTTTGCCCCAAATTCTGTTCAGGCTTCCATTATAAATATCTTAGTTTTATATTCAAGTAATTTGTGATACTCAAAAAAAACCAGCACCATTCTGAAGATCAAAAATCTTTTTAATTTCTATGGACAGATGAGGTTTTAAAGGGACAGCACCTGTTTCCATCCTCTGCCATTACTGAGAGCTACATAGCAGCAAAACCAGTCATGCTAAACCTGAATATTCAGCCCAGCTCACTGTCACGTATGATGGGCATTTAATGCTGGTCAGACAGACGGCTTTTGATGGCCACACTCACATTTCACACATTTATACATACACACATGAATAATAAATGCCCCAGTGACATGATGGAGGCTGTAATCATGCTGTAATCATAGTTGTGTTGTAGTAGTCATGCTGTAATCATAGTTGTGTTGTAGTAGTCATGCTGTAATCATAGTTGTGTTGTAGTAGTCATGTTGTAATCATAGTTGTGTTGTAGTAGTCATGCTGTAATCATAGTTGTGTTGTAGTAGTCATGCTGTAATCATGATAGAATCGTCTTGTTTCAGTTATGCTGTGGTTTGTAGTCATAGTTGTGTTGTAGTAGTCCTGCTGTAATCGTGACACATTTGCGCTGTAGACATGATGTAGCATTGTAGTCATGTTCTTGTTGTAGTTGCGCTGTAGTCATGTTGTAGTCAAGCTCTAACCATATTGTTGTTGTAGGCATGCTGTTGTCGCATTGTAGTTGTTTGTGCTACAGTTGTTGCTTAGTTGTTGTAGTTGGGTTGTAGTCACATCGTTAGTGTGTGGTAGTCATGCCGTTGTAGTTGTTGTGTAGTCATTTTGTAGTCAACATGTCATAATTTAGTTGTTGTAGTTGGGTTGTTGTGTTTCAATCTTGTTGTTAGTGTGTTATAATCATGTTGTTGGTGTGCTATAGTCATTTTGTACTCAATGTCATTTTAGTTGTAGTCATGTTGTTTGTGTGTTGTAGTCATGCTGTTGTAGTAGTGCTGTAGTTATTTTGTACTCAAAATGTCATACTTAAGTTGTACTCAGGCTGTTGTCACATTGCTAGTGTGTTGTAGTCATGCCGTTGTAGTTGTTGTGTAGGGATTTTGTAGTCAATGTCTTATTTTAGTTGGGGTGTTGTAGTCTGGTTGTCGGTGTGTTGTACTCCCATTGTTAGTGTGTTGTTGTCATTTTGTAGTCAACATGTCATATTTCAGTTGTTGTAGTTGGGTTGTTGTCACGTTGTTAGTGTGTGGTAGTCATGCTGTTGTTGTTGTTTGTGCTGTAGTTATGTTGTAGTCATCTTTTAGTTGGTCAAAACGTTATATTTTAGTTGTAGTCGTGTCGTTGGTGTGTTGTGGTTGTTGTGTAGTTATTTCGTAGTCAAAATGTAATATTTTAGTTGTAGTCATGTTGTTTGTGTATTGTAGCTGTGTTGTGGTTATGCTGTTGTAGTAGTGCTGTAGTTATTTTGTACTCAAAATGTCATACTTAAGTTGTAAGCAGGCTGTTGTGTTGGGTTGTAGTCACGTTACTAGTGTTGTAGTCATGCCGTTGTAGTTGTTGTGTAGGCATTTTGTAGTCAATGTCTTATTTTAGTTGGGGTGTTGTAGTCTGGTTGTCGGTGTGTTGTACTTCCATTGTTAGTGTGTTGTTGTCATTTTGTAGTCAACATGTCATTGTTGTAGTTGGGTTGTTGTTAGGTTGTTAGTGTGTGGTAGTCATGCTGTTGTAGTTGTTTGTGCCGTAGTTATGTTGTAGTCATATTTTAGTTGTAGTTGTGTGGTTGTTGTGTTGTTATTTTGTAGTCAATGTATTATTTTAGTTGGGGTGTCGTGTTGTAGTATGGTTGTCGGTGTGTTGTACTCCTATTGTTAGTTGTGTTGTTGTCATTTTGTAGTCAACATGTCATATTTTATTTAGTTGTTGTAGTTGGGTTGTAGTCATGTTGTTAGTGTGTTAGTCATGCCGTTGTATTTGTTGTAGTGACGTTGTTGTTGTTGTTGGTGTGTTATAGTCATGTTGTTGGTGTGCTGTAGTCATTTTGTATGCAAAATGTCATTTTAGTTGTAGTCGGGTTGTGGTCTTCTTGTTGATGTGTTGTAGTTATGTTGTCAGTGTGTTGTAGTCATGGCGTTGTAGCCATTTTGAATTGAAAATATCATAGTTTAGTTGTAAGATTGTAATCTTGTTGTTAGTGTGTTGTAGTCGTGCCGTTGTAGTTGTTGTGTAGGCATTTTGTAGTCAAAATGTCATATTTTAGTTGTTGTAGTTGGGTTGTTGTGTTGTAGTTTTGTTGTTAGTGTTGTAGTCATGTCATTGTAGTTGTTGTGCTGTAGTTATTTTGTAGTCAAACTATCATATTTTAGTTGTAGCCTGTTTGTTGTAGTTGTGTTGTGGTCATTTTGTAGGCAAAATGTCATATTTTAGTTGTTGTAGTTGGGTTGTTGTGTTGTAGTTTTGTTGTTAGTGTTGTAGTCATGTCATTGTAGTTGTTGTGCTGTAGTTATTTTGTAGTCAAACTATCATATTTTAGTTGTAGCCTGTTTGTTGTAGTTGTGTTGTGGTCATTTTGTAGGCAAAATGTCATATTTTAGTTGTTGTAGTAGGGTTGTTGTGTTGTAGTCTTGATTTTAGTGTGTTGTAGTCATGTCTTTGTAGTTGTTGTGATGTAGTCATTTGTAGTCAAAATTCTTTGTTGTTGTAGCCTTGTTGTTTAGTAGTAGTGGTGGTATTATTGGTGTGTTTTTAGTAGGCCCACACGGAATCTGCGCGCGCAGATTTCTGCAGATTTTTAGCCCATTATTAATTCTGTTCATTTAATTGAGTAAATGTGTAAATCTGAATTTATTTAGTTTTTATTCAGTAATTTATTACTTTTTATTTAATATATTAAGGTTTTAGTTATAATACTCCGCTGGATACTCCCAAAGTAATTCCGCAGAAATCCGCAGATTTTTACCAAAATTCTCCACAGAAATAGCAAAAAACGTCCGTAGATTCCGTCTGGCCCTAGTTTTTAGTCATGTTGTTGGTATGTTGCTGGTGTGTTGTAGTCATGCTGTAGTTCTGTTGTGAAGGCCTCAGTGGTCCAGAATACGCAGGTTTCCAGAAACGATCTTGTTCTCCAGCATGGCTCCGGCCGGGATGTCAATCCTGTCTCCATGATTAGCGATGATGATCACTGTTCCCTGTCACACACAATCACTGTTACAGCATACCGTTATGAACAGTGTTTGCTGATGTTCACATATGTCTCTGTGTCAGGTGTGTGTATTTACCTTCAGTGTGAGCTGTTTTCCAAAAGTCACGTCTCCTGATACAGTGAGATGGTCCAGCTCCAGCATGTCCGGGATGCTCTCAAACCGTTTCAGGAAGTCTCGCACCTAGAAAAAAAAAAGTTTTTTTTTTTGTATCTAAAAAAAGTGTCTGTCTGTCTGTCCATCCATCCATCTGTCTGTGTCTCACCTTAGTGAAGGAGCTGCCCAGTTTGACGTGTGGTGTTGTGGGAAACTCTCTCTTAGGGCTCATGGTCAGCGATCCGGCGTTCATGCTGTACAGGTTGGACATGACCAGCAGCAGGTCAGACGTGGTTTTGACCGGCAGGAAGCGGCTGCGGGGAACATTAATGCCCAGCGCGTTGTCGAAACTCTTCATGGCGGCGCCGACAGCTGTTTCTAGCTGAATGACATTCAGACCGCCATCTAGAGTCTGGAGATTAAACATATAACGATGGAATTCAACAACAATCAAATTCCACATATTAACATGATCACTAGTGCTGTGTTCCAATTCACCTACTTATACTACATCCTAAGTGTATGTACTTTTAAGTGTGTGCTTCATCATTAACACACTGTTTAGTAACCTAGTTAAGTGCCGTGTCAATCATCTTGCCTCAATGTTTCTTTCATTATACATTTACAGTACATCTACTGTAGTCAATAAACAAACAAACATGTCGTGTTTAAAATGATGACTCACCAAGTAAAAATTACGAGATAAAAGGTCATAATTTCAACTATCCAATTCATAATTTCAACTTTGTTATAATTTTGATTTAGTAAGTCATGATTTCAACACAGTGAATCATAATTTCGACTTATTATCTATTAATTTCTATTTAGTAAGTTAATGCCAACAAAGCAAGTCAGAATTATCTCTTTTTGACACGTTTTAATTTTAACTTTAAGTCATAATTTTGACTTTTTCATCTCGTAATTTTGTTTGTTATAATTTCGACAGTGAGTCATAATTTCGACTTTTTATCTCGTATTTCTATTTATTCAGTCATAATTGACACGTCATACTTCAAACTTTTTAAGTCAGTTTTGATTTTATCATAATAACCATAATTTAGTCATAATTTCGACAGTATGTCAATTTAAACTTAATCGAAATTACGAAATAGATCGAAATTCTGACTTAAGTCATAATTTTAACATATTGAGTCATAATTTCAACTTTGCTAAGTCATAATGCTAAGTCATAATTTCGACTTTTTATCTTGTAATCCTAATTAGTAAGTCATAATTTTGACTTTACAAAGTCATAATAATAACATTTTAAGTCAATTTCGACGCTTCATTATTTAAACTTTTTAAGTTATAGTATAGACTTTTTATTTCCTAATTTCGATTTAGTCAATTTCAATAAAGTGAGTCATAATTTCGACAGAGTTTATCAATTTCAACTTAAGTCACATTTCGAATTATCTTGTAATTTCGATTAAGTCATAATTTTAACATAGTGAGTAATCATTTCGACTTTGCTAAGTCATAATGCTAAGTCATAATTTCGACTTTTTAAGATATAGTTTTGACTTTATATATCATAATTTCTATCATAATTTCTATTTAGTGAGTCAATTTCAATAAAGTGAGTCATAATTTTGACAGAGTATCAATTTCAACTTAAGTCAGAATTTTGAATTATCTCGTCATTTTGATTAAGTCATAATTTTAACATATTCAGTCATAATTTTAACTTTTCTCATATTTCTATTTAGTAAGATATAATTTTGACACATCATAATTTTTTATTTTTAAGTCAAAGTTTTTTACTTTATATATCATCATTTCTATTTAGTGAGTCAATTTCGATAAAGTGAGTCAATTTCGACAGAGTATGTCAATTTCAACTAAAGTCAGAATTTTGAATTATCGTGTAATTTCCATTAAGTCATAATTTTAACATAGTGAGTAATAATTTAAACCTTTTAGGTCATAATTTTGAATTTTTAAGTCATAATTGTGAATTAGCTAAATCATGATTTTACTATTTAAGTTTTTTTTTTCTTAGGTGGGAACGAGCTTAATAATAATAATTCATAATTTTATTTGCGAAGGGAAGGGAAACCTGCACAGATGTTTAAGTGTGTGCTGGAGACACTTAACCTTGGGGTTGACAATGATCTCCATGTCCATGGCGTTCTTCTCGTGGAGCCGTTTGATGGCCGGCAGACTCATCCACAGGTTGTTGGTGTTGAAGATCTTGAACTTGGTGACTGATTTGAACTCGTCTACGTGAGCTTTGGGCACCTGAGCGATCTCCAGCAGCCGGAGTTTACCGTCATACTGAGTCAGTGTGCCACCCTGAACACAAGCAACAGCAGAACAATGAGGGTTTTTTTTTTTTCTCGTTTTATTTTCAGTTAATTAATGCCATGATTTGCCTAATGACTCTTACCTAATTAACCTAGTTAAATTGCACTTTAAGATGAATACAAGTGTAAAAGTTGTCGTCTCACCTTGACATCGGCTCTGGTTTTATCGGTGACCTCCATCACGAACTCGCAGCGTTTGTCGTTGGGTTGGCTCATCAGGTGGTTTAGGATGTGCAGGTCCACAGTGGCACCCAGATTATCAATGTTGGACACGAAGATGTACTCTTTCCCTTCGGCGATGAGCTTGTCCAGCAGGCCTGAGTTGTAGAAGCTGGCGTAAATGTCTCCGTGACCCGGCGGGTACCAGGCCTCCTCATTCTCTCCCGTCAGGCCCATGTTTGTGGCCACCGGTAACAGAGACTCCTTGTTGATTCTGGGATACCTGTGCGGGGGATCATTAATGTGCTATGAGGGAGTAGGCTTTGATTACAGATGTTTTATTCTGTCCCTTTACTTACTTTCATAATTATTGATCAATTTAATCTCATTTACTGTAGCTTTGAATACTTGCATTAATCATTATGTTCCCTATATTTATTAATATTTCATTCATTTTAATTCGGCTTAAGGCTGATTTATACTTCTACGTCAAGCACATGCGAATGCTACGGTGCAGCCTACGTGTCGACACGTAGCCCTACGCCGTGGCCGTCGGCGTCGCTGACGTGCACCTCTCAAAAAATGTAACTACACATCGCAACGACACGTAGTACAAGCTCTGTGATTGGTCGGCTAGGTAGCGCTGATGAGTCTGGGCGGGACCGATGGAGCTTTTGTTTACAAGTGTGGAGTCCCGTAAAGGAGTTCTGGATGGAAAGTTTTGTTTTGTGTTTACCTCATGGTTAAAGGTGTTGCAAATCTGCCAGTTCCTGCCTCAAAATGAGCGAGTTTGAGCCACTTGTACATTCAGGAAGCGTTCAGAAAAAACAAAACACCAGCGAAGACACAGAGACACATTAACACCTTACTGCCCACTAGCGTTTCGGAAGTGTTATTGCAGAACAACCGAAACAGCGCGCAGAAGTATAAATGCACAGCCACGCACGTTGCATGCGCCGTGGGTTACGGCGGTCACTTGACACAGAAGTATAAACCTCTTAACTCTCTATTTTAGAGGTCGCCACAGCGGAATGAACTGCCAACTATTCTGTCATATGTTTTACGTAGTGGATGCCCTTCCTGCTGCAATCTAGTACTGGGAAACACCCTTACACTCTCACATGCGCGCACACACACACACACACACTCATACACTATGGTCAATTTAGTTATTTCAATACACCTATTGAATAAACTAAGGGCCATGGCCACCCCTATGTAAACTATGGCCACCACAAAATGATTTTGCTATTGATTTTATTAATTTAAATGTTCTTATGTAAATTCACATTATTTCAGCAAATAAATTAATTTTAGCCACTAAATTATTGTGGATTGATTGGTGCCACTAAATCTAAATCTGAATAGATTTAGATTTAGTTTCACTTAGGCTATTTTGGCTGCACCTCGGGGATGAACCGCTGACTTTTCTACAACAATTTCAAGTTTGCGCTGGTTTTTTACATTTTTTTTTTTTTATTTAAGGATATAGTTCTTATAACATAATTTGTTTATTATTGCTTGACGACGAGAGATGGAACATGTCTTTGGGTTCACGAGATTGTACACTTTTGGTAACACTTTACAATAAGGTTCATTAGTTAATGCGTTTACTAACATGAACTAATCATGAACAACACATGTACAGCATTTATTAATCATAATTGAACATTTACTAATGCATTATTAACATCCAAGTCCATGCTTGCTAACATTAGTTAATGAACCATGAGTTAACATGAACTAACAATGAACTACTGTATTTTCATTAACTAACGTTAACTAACATGAACAAATACAGTAGTAGATGTATTGTTCATTGTTTGTTCATGTTAGTAAATGCATTAATTAACATTAACTAATGAACCTTATGGTAAAGTGTGACCACACTTTTTATTAGGACTTTTTTTTTTTAATGAAAAATTGTGTTTTAAAAGTTGGTGGTTCATTCCGCTGTGGCGACCCCGGATTAATAAAGGTACTAAGCCGAAAAGAAAATGAATGAATGAATGAATATTATATTATTTAATTATAAACATATCCAACACTTTAGATTGCGTATTATGTACTTGACGTTTGCATGACTAAAATACTGACTTGTGCTGATGTCCTCATTTCTCAAAAAGTTTAGAAATCACACTGAATGACTTTTTCAGAAAGTAAACCTGTACAGTTTCCTGTGTGGGTTGAGTTAGGGCAATAGAAAATACAGTTTGTACAGTATAAAAACAATGGAAACCTATGTAATGTCCCCACAATTCACAAAAACAAAGGTGTGTGTGTGTACGTGTTTTTGTGACTAACAGGACACAAATCTGTATAATGACATGGGTATGACACAGGTATTACAAAAAGGAGGTGAAAGTCCCCACAATTCACAAAAACAAAGGTGTGTGTGTGTACCTGCTCTGGTTGAAGGTGTGTATCTTGACGCGGTGATGTGTGTATTTCTGCAGGATCTTCTTGGTGTCTTCATCAGTGTTGAATGAGTTCATCAGCACCAGCGGCACGTCTGCATTATACGTTTTATTTAAATGCTGAAACACAGAGAGAGATTTCACACAAAATACATCATTTAACCACACGAGAAAGTCTACAACAATATTTTTACAGTGCATCTGAAATAAAATGATGATGTGTGCAAATCACCGTTAGTATTTTGCTTGTTCATAGTATGCTTTTTGTTTCTATGACTGTTACATTAAAGCATATGATGGCATGAAGAATATACAAGCTGCTCAAAGCAAGCAAGACTTGTACACTAGGAAAGTTGCATTGGAGGTATTCTGTACTGCAAAACAAATAGGATTTCACAAGAGATTTTTTGAACGGCCTTCATTCAAAAAAGAAAACTAAACTGTGATTATGCAACTTTGGGGTAAACGGTCACCGACATGCAGAGAAAACTGTACCAAGGTCTGAAACTGTAAACAGGGTCTTACCTCATATTAAACGGATTATATAAAAGGCAAAAAAGCAGAAATCTAATAGGTGTAAATAGATGTTACATGCAATTCAAGAGTGTTAAACTATAAATACTTAAAGAAATGTTTATTTTCATAAATAACGACACAGTATAATTGTAAATATACTCTCACCGGCCACTTTATTAGGTACACTTCTCCAACTGCTCGTTAAGGCAAATGATCAGCCAATCACATGGCAGCAACTCAATGCATTTAGGCATGTAGACATGGTCAAGACGATCTGCTGCCGTTTAAACTAAGCATCAGGATGGGGAAGAAAGGTTATATAAGTGACTTTGAACGTGGCATGTTTGTTGGCGCCTGACGGGCTGTTCTGAGTATTTCAGAAACTGCTGATCTACTGGGATTTTCATGCACAACCATCTCTAAGGTTTACAATATATCCAGTGAGCAGCATTTATGTGGGCGCAAATGCCTTGTTGATGCCAGAGGTCAGAGGAGAATGGCCAGACTGGTTCCAGTTGAATGAAAGGCAACAGTAACTCAAATAATCACTCATTACAACTGAGGTCTGCAGAAGAGCATCTCTGAACACACAACATATCCAACCATGAGGCAGATGGGCTCCAGCAGCAGAAGACCACACCGGTGCAACTTCTGTCAGCTAAGAACAAGAAACTGAGGCTACAATTCACACAGGCTCACCAAAATTGGACAATAGAAGATTGGAAAAACGTTGCCTGGTCTGATAAGTTTAGATTTCTGCTGCGATATTCGCATGGTAGGGTCAGAATTTGGCGTCAACAACATGAAAGCATGGATCCATCCTGCCTTATATCAATGGTTCAGGCTGGTGGTGGTGTATTGGTGTGGGGGATATTTTCTTGACTCACTTTGGGCCCTTTAGTACCAATTGAGCATCCTGTCAATGCCCCAGGATTAAGGCAGTTCTGAAGGTGTCTAACCCAGTACTTGTAAGATGTACCTAAAAAAGTGGCGAGTGAGTGTATGTTGTAATATAATAATGTATGTTAATATAATATTTTTAAATAAAATTCCATATTATAAATGTATATTAATTTTATCTATATGGAATGTTATTTATAAATTATTTAGATAATAATTATGTAGAAAAAAAATTAACATTACCAACAATTAACATATATAAGTCAGAATTATTAGCCAAAGCGAATTTTTTCAGCACATTTCTACACATAATAGTTTTAATAACTCATTTCTAATAACTGATTTATTTTATTTTTGCCAAAATGACAGTAATTAATATTATACTAGATATTTTCCAAGACACTTCTATACAGCTTAAAGTGACATTTAAATGCTTAACTAGGTTAATCAGGTTAACTAGGCAGGTTAGGGTAATTGGGCAAGTAATTGTATAATGATGGTTTGTTCTGTAGATTATCGAGAAAAAATATATCCTATAGGGGCTAATAATATTGTCCTTAAAATGGCTTTTAAAAAATGTAAAACTTCTTTTATTCTATATATATATTGTATAATAAAACAAACTTTCTCCAGAAGAAAAAATATAATCAGTCATACTGTGAAAATGTTCTTGCTCTGTTAAACATCATTTAGGAAATATTTAAAAAAGAAACAAAAATCAAAGGGGGCTTTCAACTGTATAATTTTTTTACATACATTATTATGCATTATTAAATTTGGTATATAATAATGTATGTAAGAATGTAAATCTAATAACTTAGATAAAATTCCATATGGATAAAATAAAATTATGATGCATTTTAAAATATTTTAAGCAATATTTTTATCATTTTAAATATACAGTAAACATGCTTTACTTTAAAATTATTAATTTCTGTAGATGTATGATTAGTTATTTATATGAGAGACACATACAGTTTATTAATATTATTTTGCCTGGTAAACTAATAACTATTAAAAACAACTTTATCTATTTTTAACAAGAATGTTGTAATTTAGAGCACTTCAGGGTTTTTTCTTGCATAAAACAACAAAAATATACCACGTTTCAGAAATTTTTATATTCATTATTTATTTTTAGACAAAAAAAACCCCACCTATGTTTAAACCTCAGTAAAGTTTAAAATTATTTGTCGAGTGCATTAAGAAATCAAATCTACTTCAAAGGTTTGTACTGTAATGTGAGGAAACAGCAGTGAAGTAAATACCTCGATCTGCTGGACGGTCAGGTCCAGGAAAGTGTTTTCATTTCGGACACTGATGAGACTTTTGGGCCCTTTGCAGCCCATGCTGGTCCCCAAACCTCCATTGAGCTTCAACACGGCTAGTTTATTAAGGCTGGACGCCACATCAGCTGGAAGACCCTTCAGCTTGATCTTCTCATACGGCTGGATCTGTCCAGACAAAAGAAATCAGACATTGAGTAAGTGCTTATATCAGTCCACTTCTTCTTTTTTTAGCACCAGGCAACAATTAAAATTTTTAATCGCAAGATTTTTCTGCAATTTAGCACAAATAGTTAATAATAAATAATAATAATCATCATAATAATAAAGCCTAAATTGTAGCATTTTTTATTTTCAATGTGAAACAAAATCCAATACATTTTATTAAAAAATTAAATATTTGTAAGAATAATCAAAGTGACCATTTTTACAGGCCTATAATCTGATTTTACAGTACCTTCTGAGGTTACTTTAAATCAAAGCAAAGATGTACAATCAAATGAGGCCAGAGAAAGGCTGAAGTTTATTTCTCTGCAGGTTTATTTACTCCAGTCAAACAGAGCAATGTTGAAGGTCCATCTATCTGACCTCAAAAAATGCACTTTAAGCCATACCTGCCTGCTTTTCCCGGGAGTCTGCCATATTTCACCCCCATGTCCCACCACCCTCCCATTTTGTTGTATCTCCCAGGAAACTTCTGTAATTTCCCCAATTTATTTACGAAAAATCACTTTGGCCATGTTTGTCAAGTTGCCAAATATTGTATTAAGCTCATCACCTCACACAATTGACGATATATTCAAATCTTGAAGCGTTTTTTTTTTTTACCTCAATCTGGCAACATATTTTACAACCCAGTTGCACTGTTGATTTTTGCGCAGGTGATAGATTCAGTATTTGGATGGCGGTGGTAACAATACAAGTAGTAGTAGATAATACTAGTAGACAACACTGCAATCGAACCCAGACAAGCAAGATCTACTAAAGGAGGTCGAGCCTTCTCATTTATGAGACCTAAACTCTGGAATAGCCTTTCTGATAATGTCCGAGGCTCAGACACAATCTCTCAGTTCAAAACTAGATTAAAGATCTATCGGAGACCTCAAGGACAACACAAAAGACGAGATGAAGAGATGATGCAAACCATCGAGAACTTCAAAAACAACACAAACTTAATACACAAACACACTTCATTAAACATGTACACATAGACATCACCAATATGCTATAAGATTGCAGGTTAACTATGTCTGTATACTATAACTTGATTGGAACTTTAACTTAATCTTAAGTGCGCATGTTCTCCCCGTGTTGGTGTGGTTTTCCTACCAGTGCTCCGGTTTTTTCCCAAGGTCCAAAGGCATGCACTATTGTTGAATTGAATGAACTAAATCAGCCATAGTGTATGTGTGTGTGAATGTGAGAGTGTATGGGTGTTTCCCACTACTGGGTTGCAGCAGGAAGGGCTTCCGCTGCGTAAAACATACGCCAGAATAGTTGGTGGTTCATTGCACTGTGGCAACCCCTGATAAATAAGGGACTAAGCCAAAGGAAAATGAATGAAGTTTGCAGATATGAAGGGAGTAAACCCAGAATTGATCTGTATAAACAAAGATATGCCAATGCTTGAACCTACGAGTGGACAAAGCGGACCATCCTACCCGATGGTCCATAACATACAATGCACAATTATGAGGGAGGGATTTAAGATTTGTTTAAAGTGACTGACAGTAAAGCTAAACCAAGTTTCAAGTTTTCAGACGACACCACAGTGGAATGAACCACCAACTATTCCAGCATATGTTTTCACGTAGTGAATACCCTTCCAGCCACAACCCAGTACTCATTCACACACATACACTACGGGTACTCATTCACCCACACTACAACCCAGTACTCATTCACCCATGGCGCATGTTTTTGGACTGTGGGGGAAACCGGCCAACACGGGGAAAACATGCGAACTCCACACAGAAATGCCAATTGGTCCTGTCGAGACTTAAACCAGAGACCTTCTTGCTGTGAGGCGACAGAGCTAACCACTGAGCCACCATGCCATCCCGATATAACGTTTCAGTCTCTCCTGACTGCACGACCTCCAATGTGACAAAAAAAAAACAAAGCACTGGAGACGTGCACTGAGGAAACGGACACTCTTCCAGCTGACCCATCAAGCATTCAGCCAATGATCACGAAAACCGAAATAGAGCCATTGAGAAACACACTTCACTCCACAGCACTGATCTATAGTCAGTTGTGACAATTATTTTATAATGGGTTTGATATAAGCGTCCGTCGGCCAGAGCTGATTTCGGATCATTTGTCCTGCATTACTATGTGCTGTAATATGAGTTTCAGAGCGGCGGCTTGAAAAGAAATGTCAGCCAAGGTTGTGGGACGCTGGAAGTGCTGTGCTATTCATAGTCTAACCTTCAGTGCATTTCTAGAGGGGCCGTTGGGTTATTTGGAGAGGGGATCAGCGGGGAAATGTCACGGACTTGATAACCACTCGTACATGCACGTTCTTTGTGTTTGCGGTGACAGTAAAGTCGCAGAGGCAAATGCAGCCTTGCCTCAGATACTTTATGTAAATATATTATTAAAGCAAAATATTGGTAATAATTTAATTCTTGTTTGAAGTTGAAATTATGTATACATATGAATACATGAAAATAAAACATTTAAAACCATTTAATGGATACCAAGAAGCAAAAATACAATAGTAAATACTATAGTCTTTGTGAACCACAGTGCTTCTGGATAGTATTCACAGCGCTTCACTGTTTCCCCCTTTTTTGTTACAGCCATATTCTAAAATGGATTCAATTAATTTATTTCCTCAAAATTCTACACACAAAACTCCACAATGACAATGAGTAAACAGATTTTTTTAAATCACATGTACATATATATATATATATATATACAGCCTTTGCTATGAAGCTCTAAATTGAGCTCAGGTACATTGAGAGGAGAACCTTACAGAAAGACAACCATCTGTGGAGCAGTCCACCAATCAGACCTGTATGGTAGAGTGACCAGACACAAAGCAAACCCCCCCCCCCCCCCCCTCCCCTGGAATTTGCCTAATGCCATCTGAAGGACTCTCAGCCCATAAGAAACCAAATTATCTGCTCCGACAAGACTAAAATTTAACTCTATGGAGTGAATGCCAGGCGTTACGTTTGAAGAAAACCAGGCACCGCTCATCACCAGGCTAATACCATCCCTACAGTGAAGCATGGTGGTAGCAGCATCATGCTGTGGGGATGTGTTTCAGCAGCAGGAACTGGAAGACTAGTCAGGATAGAGGGAAAGATGAATGCAGCAATGTACAGAGACATCCTGAATGAAAACCTGCTTCAGAGTGTTCTTGACCTCAGACTGGGGCGACGGTTCATCTTCCAGCAGGACAATGACCCAAAGCACACCGCCAAAATATCAATGGAGTGTCTTCATAACAACTCGGTGAATGTCCTTGAGTGGCCCAGCCAGAGCCCAGACCTAAATCCTATTGAACATCTCTGGAGAGATCTGAAAATGGCTGTACACTGTCGCTTCCCATCCAACCTGATAAAGCTTGAGAGGTACTGCAAAGAGGAATGGGCAAAAAGTCCCAAAGACAGGTGTGCCAAGCTTGTGGCGTCATATTCAAAAAGACTTGAGGCTGTCATTGCTGCCAAAGGTGCATCATTAAAGTTCATCGGTTAATCAGCCGGAATCAGCTGAGGTGAAGTGACGGCGATCAGCGAGACCTAGCTGTCACTCAAGTGGCCCGCCCCTAATTAAGCAGAGTTAATATAACCTAATAAAAAGTAATCAGGAAAGGAAAAAGTTCACCCCCTCACAGTTGTCATAAAGGGTAATATTAGCTATATGCACCAAAGCCATCTTTTGTACCAGGCTGTAAACATGTTTTTATCAGCTGTAAAATTGGCCAATTTACCATTGCATCCGAAATCACCTGGATTTCGTGGAGCCAGCCCCCCAAGGTGAGTCGATGAATTGCCTCCGTACTGACTTCCCGAGGGAGAGCTTTGCTGCTTGGTTTGAACACATTTCTAGCATGTTATCGTGTTGCTAGCAGCAACTAATGTTGTATGTTAACATTTTTCAAAGTAATTAGCATGTTGTTAGCATGTTTTTCTAACTCTAGCATGTTGTTAGCATGGCTTTGTATCAATATGTTGCTTGTTTAAAACATTCTAACATGAATAAACATGTTGCTAGCATGAATGATGCTAGCTTTGTTTATTGCATGTTAAATCATTACTGGCATACGTTAGCATGCTGCTAACAAGTTTTAACATTGGTCTTACCATTGTCAACAGTGTTTGCAGCAATACTTTGCTAGCCTAGCTCGCTTCTAACATAAATAAGCATTTTGCTACCATGGATTAACATTGTTAAAATAAACTAACAAGCTGCTAGTGTTTATTGTATGTTAGAACATTCCTGACACACATTCAGGTTTTTAGATAATTTAGCAAGTTGCTAACATATTTATAACATTGTCAACATGATTTAACATTAATTAGCATGCTGCTAGCAAGTTTTTCTAACAACTTTCCAACATGTATTAGCATCTAGGTAACTCAATGTCTCAATTAATGTCTAATGTTCACTCCCAATCCAAATTTGAGTATTCACATATGTCGATTACATACAAAGTCAATGAAAACATGGAAATAAAGTAAACTCAGGACATGCTGGACTTTTAAACAGGATTTCAGCATGTTAGCTTGAATTAACCCAAAAGTAAGCAAGGAATGTTTAAAAAAGTCGATACATACTGCTGCAGATATGTAACACTGCTTGATTTAAAACACATCTGAGCCTTCATTGGTCTCACCGAGTCTTCGGGTGGTCTCTGGATCTTGGCCCAGTCAACAGACGGCCCCTTCTCCTGAAGGAAACGGTGGAAAAGCTTCTTGAAGCCCTCAAAGTCCTTCCTAGAGATCTGGAGGACACACAGATAGAAGCATATTACAGCTCAGCGGTCATATTACAGCATATTACAGCTCAGGGGTCTGATTTATAAGGATTTGTGTCAAAACCGTAATATCAAAAAACCTTGAATATTTGTTTATCAATGACTATGGCTGATATAATGATTAAAAGTGGTTTGTTAAGTCATTTAAGTTACTTAAAGCTGAACACTTCTCAGTTGTTTTTTTATGGATCACATCAGCATGGGAAGTGGCGTATGCACATTTTGCCCCTGTTTTATATGCCACATTTATAGATGAGAGAGCCAGGTCTTTATACCTTTAGTTTGATATATTAAATCAGAAAATAACGTTTGGCTTTATTTGAGCTGTCAGTAACAGAAACACCTGAAACAGGCCGCATTACACACATTTTTACTTTTTTTTTTAACTTAATGCACAAAACACTACAAAACTATGTGTATATTTAATCTAATTAATTTGATCTGTAATATTCATGCAATGTTTTATTAAATGCTTTAGAAGTATGAAGCTGAATATGAATAAACACAATGAAGTGTAATTAATCACGTCCATAATTATACTGTATAACACCGTGGAACATATATGCATAATTAATACTCTGAAGAGGCTCCTTTAACCTTCACACTAAACTCTGCTGCGTCTTGGGACGACGGCTGTAATTAAGAGATGTTTCCCTTGTCAGGTCACTGTTTTATGAGCAGCTGTATAAAAAAATCTTTAAACTAACTGCATGCTGTCTGTGCCATCACTGCTGTTTCACTGTGAATAAATAATAAATATACAAATATTAAGCAACCAAATATCTTTGTGAATATGTAAATCTAATAGCAGGCTCAGGCTTTCAAATTAGTTCAATTTGTTATTATTTTATTCAGCACATATGAATGGGCCATTGATAAAAAAAGACACGAAATTTATTTTTTTTTCAATTGCATGAACCATAAATATATGTATTTTTTATTTGTTATTGTTGCTTGCATTAATGTAAAACAAATGTAATATTTTTGATTGAATGGCTCTAAATTGTCACATGGTGCAACCATCAGGTAATTCATTCATTGTCTTTAGTCGTTTCATTCATCAGGGGTCGCCAGCAATATGAACCGCCATCTTATCCAGCATATGTTTTACACAGCAGATGCCCTTCCAGCTACAACCCAGTAGTGGGAAACATCTATACACACTCATACACTATGGGCAATTTAGTTTATTTAATCCATCTATAGTGCATGTCTTTGGACTGTGGGGAAAACAGGAGCACCCAGAGGAAACCCACAGGGAGAACATGCAAACTCTACACAGAATTGCCATCTGGCCTATCCGGTACTCGAACCAGCGACCTTCTTGCTGTGAGGCGACAGTGCTAACCACTGAGTCATGTGCCGCCCTTCCTATCACATAATAAATTATAATATTAATAAATCAGGTCACAGATCATAATCAAACAATACTTAAGATTTATTTTAAGAATTAAAAAATTATAGATCATGATTAAACAGACTTACATTATTAAATATCATGATGATAATTTCCTGTTTTGACAACCTAAGCCAACTTTACAAAAACCTTCAGTATTTATTTTAAATACATTCAGCTAATCTCTGTGTATTATATGACCTCAAAACATGCACAGAGATGTTTTTGGCTGTATTATGGGTCAAAAGTATTGATTTAAATTTGATGCTAAAAATCATTAGAATATTAGGGATCATGAAGATATTTTGTACATTTTCTACTGCAATAATAACACAACTCATTGAAAAAGACAATCGATAAAAATATTGTTTAAGAGGGCTAATGATATTAATCTTTAAAAAAAATTCTATTAAAAACTGCTTTTTTTTTTTTTTACAAACAAGTCTTTCTTCAGAAGAAATAAATATTGCTCAGTTAAAAATCATTTGGGAAACTTTTGGGGGAAAAAAATGAAAGAATGGTGAATAATTCTGACTTCGACTGTATGTTAATCTACAGTTGAAGTCAGAATTATTAGCCCCCTGTTTATTTTTTCCCCAATTTCTGTTTAAATTTATAATAACTGATTTATTTTATCTTTGCCATGATGACAGTAAATAATATTTGACTAGATATTCTTCAAGACACTTTTATACAGCTTAAAGTGACCTTTAAAGGCTTAACTAGGATAATTAGGTTAACTAGGCAGGTTAGGGTAATTAGGCAATTTATTGTAAAACAATGGTTTGTTCTGTAGATTATTGGAAAAAAATAGCTTAAAGGGGCTAATAATATTGACCATAAAATAATATTTTGTAAAAAATTAAAAACTGCTTTTATTCGAGCCAAAATAAAACAAATAGGACTTTTTCCAGAAGAAAATATATTATCAGACATACTGTGAAAATTTCCTGAATCTGTTAAACATCATTTGGGGAATATTTAAAAAAGAAAAAAAATCAAAGGGGGCAAATAATTCTGACTTCAACTGTATATGGTTTACACATGGAGTCATGGACAGAAGGAGCACATGAACATGTTGGCAAGGACTGTTGTTTTACCTCGGCCTCTGGTGTTTTGGCGGTACTCAAGAGCTTCTCCAGCTCTGTGTGCATGGAGTTCTCATGCTGCAGTCTCAGCTTCTCCTGAAACTCCGCCATTCCCGCATTAGGGCTCGATCTATACAGGTCTATGGAAAAAAACACACACAGGAAAGCAGGATATTACTGACATCTTTGAATACTGATGATTGTTTAGTTAGATCATTTTATTCTGCCGTGATTTTTGGTTTTGATAAATTAGTTGGAGTATTGTTTAAATAATTCAGGCAGACTGTCAAAAGTCTGGAATAATTCAAACTGAATATTAAGGTCATAAATGCTGCATTTATTTTGTTAAAACCTAATATTTTTCACTTATTAACAATTTAATTAACAGATTTTAATTGTATTACATGTTAAAAAGCACTATTCCTGCTGAATTTGCAGCATTTTATATTATATTATATTATATTATATTATATTATATTATATTATATTATATTATATTATATTATATTATATTATATTATTCATTCATTCATTTATTTTTTCTTGGGCTTAGTCCATTTATTCATCAGGGGTCACCACATCGGAATGAACCGCTAACTTTTCTAGCATATTGTATGCTCTTCTAGGGATGCCCTTCCAGCTGCAACCCTATACTGGGAATATATTCTATTCTATTCCTTTTAGTGCTGGGCTAATCATGATTAAATCACATCCAAAATAAAAGTTTGTTTTGATATAAAATGTATGCGTGTGTACTGTGTAATTTATTATATATATATATATATATATATATATATATATAAACACATACATGCATGCATATATTTGAGAAAATATTTATATTTATGTAACAAAATAGTTATTTCTACATTTTTGTTTCTAGACATGTGTATAGAAATGCCAACTGACCCAACTGAGGCTCGAACTAGCGACCTTGCTGTAAGGCGACAGCACTACCAACTGCGCCATCGCGACGCCCTAATCGTGATTATATTACACTATATTATATTATATTATATTATATTATATTATATTATATTGTATTGTATTGTATTATATTATATTATATTATATTATATTATATTATATTATATTATATTATATTATATTATATTATATTATATTATATTATATTATATTATGTAATATTATATTATATTATATTGTATTATATTATATTATATTATATTATATTGTATTATATTATATTATATTATATTATATTATATTATATTATATTATATTATATTATATTATATTATATTTGGAAAAAGAGTTGTGTTGTATAATATTTGTTTAGAGGCTGTGATATTACTCAAAATTATAACACATATTTATTCAACAAGGGCACAAAATGATTTCACATGACGGCAAGACACTCATAATATCACAAAAACAAGAAAAGACGCTGTTCATTAAACTTCCTACTCATCAAAGAATCCTGAGCAACACAAAACAGCACAGCAACACAAAAATATTACAACCAAAACTATTTTCACCATTGAGGTAACATGAACCATCATTATTAATTAAGCACACGTTGTAGCTTATAACAACTGAGAACCCAATCAATGACTCAAGAGTAATGGCTGACTGCAGGAAACTGCTATAATACTTCACAATTTTAGGCTTCATACTGTTTTCTTCTTTAAATAAATGCAACCTTGAATAGAACAGGAGATAAACTGTAACAAAAACACTTATTTTATATATAAAGCATTAATAAATACATGTTTTTGTTACAGTTTATCAATGCTTTATATATAAACTAACTGTCCATTTATAAATAAAGGGATAAACTGTAACAAAAACACTTAAACTAACAGTCTATTTATATATAAAGCGTTGGTAAACTGTAACAAAACGCTTTATTTTTATATGCAAAGCATTGACAAACAGTAACAAAAACATGTCCTTATCAATGCTTTATATATAAATGAAGTGTTTTTGTTACTGTTTATTTCTTTATATATAAACCAACAGTCCATTTATATATTAAGAGATGAACTGTACCAAAAAATCTTAAACTAACAGTCCATTTATATGTAAGGCATTGATAAACTGTAACAAAAACACGTAATTTATATATAAAGCATTGATAAACTGTAGGAAAAAAAACACTTAAACAGTCCATTTATATATAAAGAGATAAACTGTAACAAAAACACTTATTTTATTTATAATGCATTAATAAATACATGTTTTTGTTACAGTTTATCAATGCTTTATATAGAAATGAAGTGTTTTGTCACAGTTTATCTCTGTTTCTACAAACTAACAGTCAATTTATAAATAAAGAGATAAACTTTAACAAAAACTCTTAATCTGACAGTCCATTTATATATCAAGCGTTGGTAAACTGTAACAAAACACCTTATTTTTATATGCAAAGCATTGACAAACAGTAACAAAAACATGTCCTTATCAATGCTTTATATATAAATGAAGTGTTTTTGTTACAGTTTATCTCGTATACATATAAACTAACAGTCCATTTATATGTAAGGAATTGATAAACAGTAACAAAAACACTTAATTTATATATAAAGCATTGATAAACTGTAGGAAAAAAAACACTTAAACAGTCCATTTATATATAAAGAGATAAACTGTAACAAAAACACTTATTTTATTTATAATGCATTAATAAATACATGTCTTTGTTACAGTTTATCAATGCTTTATATAGAAATGAAGTGTTTTTGTCACAGTTTATCTCTGTATCTACAAACTAACAGTCCATTTGTAAATAAAGGGATAAACTGTAACAAAAACACTTAAACTAACAGTCCATTAACATATAAAGTAGCCACCAGTAGCATATTACAACCTGAAAATCATGGTACCACCATAGTATGTGTGTAATCCAATAAAGACACCACTTACCAGCAACAAAAGACATGATCAGTAACTGATGACGGCTCTCGGAATTAAAAATAACAGTGTCTAGTACTCCTGAATGGATTTCAGCAGTCAACAAATGTCCACTGTTGTACAGTTCCTTCAGTTACACTGAAAAAACTACAACTTCCTCAGTTTAAGGAAGCTGTCACACAGATCCTCTGGGAGCCTCAGATCGACTAAACTAAAAACAAAAGCTACTAAAACTTTGCTGTTGAGAGCACAACCAGCCCCAACAGCAGGACATGAAGAGTGGACACCCGATGAGGGTTTTGTAGAGCAAAGAGAGAGAGAGAGAGAGAGAGAGAGAGAGAGAGAGAGAGAGAGAGAGAGAGAGAGAGAGAGAGAGTAATCATTCGTGTAATAAACGCTAATGTTGATTTGCGATTTCAGACCGAGTATTTCAATTAGCGTGGTAACGTTAAACAAATAATTTAGCGAGCGTTAAATTGAACGAATGTGCTAATATAAAACCAACTTTACCTTAATAGTATGTTTCATTATTATTCTATTCAACTTTGACAGGTGCAGAACGGACACTGCGTTGTATTAATTGAGGGTTTAACGTTTATAAAGGACTTATTCTTGAATTTGATTCATTGAATTCGTTGACACGAAGATTGCTGAGCCGATTACGAAGCCAATCCTATTCATTATTACTGCGAGTTGACTGCGGCTAACGTTCAAACACGAGTAGCTAATGTTTAATCGCTAAATATAACTATCTTACAAATCGCTAAGATAAACTGAAACTATCTGTCGCTTAAAACTGACTAGGTGAATAGGATTAATTACAAAAAGAGCTATATTATAATTGCGTTTGGTGGAGTTCACATACGGATTTCGCCTTTTTTCATTGATTCGAATCTTTTAAATTGATTCTCTAAAATGAGTCGTTTACCGAGTCAATTCAGTTCATTAACGTGTGAAGATAAGAAGTTAACGAATAATAACTCCAATTATTTTAATTTAAAGATTATTTGAATTATTTGATTATTTTTTTATCACTGAATAAGAATATAAAAATCACAAAAATAATAAACCCAAACTTTCTGTCTTCTATTTACTGGGTGAATCTGATTAACTTCAAACGTAATTTGGTAATGTTCACATACAGGGAGCTTCTTCTCACTGATTCGACTCTTTTGAATTGCTTCAAAATGAGACATTAGGCTAGGGCTGCTCACTTATGGGAAAAATCATAATCACGATTATTTTGGTTATAATTGTAATCTTGATCATTCAAAACGATATAGAGTCATCAAAATTATTCACCCTCCTGTGAAAATCTTTCCATTATACAGAAATAAGGGGAAAATATACAGGGGGGCTAATAATTCTGGAGGGCTAATAATTATTACTTCATCTGTATATATATACAGTTATTTTCCTCCTTGTAAATAAGAAAAGGGAAATAAATACAATAGAATAAAATTATGAAACAAACTGTGCTTTAAGCATCCTCACTGTGAGAATAAAAACTTTAAATACAGCTACAAAAGTCCTTCAGTCAAGAGCAGTGAGTGATTCAGTCCCTTTGTTGTTTGATTAATGATAAAAACAGTTGACAGCAGGAATATTGCGCACTGTCACTTTAAGAGCAGTGCAGTTCTAATTTATAGTTTCACTTTCACATGTCTTTTGATTCTCAACTCGTTTGTTTATTACATAAATGAGGGTTAATATGAACAATCACTAAACACTGTGTTTTGACACAAATGTGCATGTGTTTGACTATTAAAGCACTCACATTAAGATGACTAGAAGTGTGTGCTCTGCTCGTCTCTGAGCTCGTAAAACTGAGCTTTACAGAGCAACAAATGTGTACAACTGGAAAGTGTGCGGTATATGATGCAATAATCGTTTTGATTATTGTTTTTTCATAACTGTTCGAAGCCAAATTCGAAATCGAAACTGGAATTTTGATTAATTTCACAGCCCTAGGAAGCCAACATACATCAATAATTCACATACAGTAGGCCTAATTACAATTACGAGGTCAGTCTGATTTATTTTATACAAGTTAATTTGGACTATTTAGTGTTCAAACACACATTCTGGACCATAGGCCCATATACAAATAAAATATGAACAACATAACAATAATAGGCCATAAAAAAACAGAATCATCATATAATTGGTGGTCTTAATAGTTTTAATGATTACAATTGCAATTGGTTTTAAAGCAAACTAGCCTAATTGTTCCTGGTGATGTCTGCTGCACGATAATTTATTGCCTGCGCCGAAACCGCCTACTACTCAGAAGGTACTGCATTCGAACTTAATCGTACTACTCGGCCGTTAGAAAAGCACGTTCTATACAGTATGAATGTGAGCAGTATGAATGGAATTTAGATGTACTACATCCGCCATTTTGTCATGGTCACGTGACCTACCTGCGTCAGTTGCGTCGCTTTAAGCCCATTCATAAATCCGCTCGCAGGGCATTATGGGATAGCGCAGCATGCATGGGATGCGCACTCCAGAATCTCGCCAGAAGTAGTAAGTCATCCAGGTACTACTCGCATTGTGTTTTTCGAATTCTATAGCTGCGTCTCAAATGGCACACTATACACTATGTACTTACACACTCAACAGCATAGTATATATGTATGTAGTGTCGTTCCAAATGGAGCACTAATTTTTTTTACTAAGCGGAAATTCAAACCGTTTTCCTGATGACGTTTGCCAAATCAGTGAAATAAATGACCAAACTATCAAATAATACCTGCCATAAGGATAACCACATTCACCATCAGGAGGCGCTATAATCACTCTCATAGGAAAATTTTGCTTTCACAATCCAAAATAAATAAAAGTTATTCAACATGTGCGCCTGATAGCTCCTCCCCTTCCGCGACGTAAGCAAACCTGCGGTCGTAGAGTGTGTGAAGTGTCCAACATTACACACTTTATTTTACCAGCTGAACGAGTGCACATTATATTTAGAGTTTTTAGAGTAAACGCACCACCTACACTATTTATGCTACAGAATAGCCTAGAATAGTGCATAAGTATGCGATTTGGGATGCAGCTTATGAATTCAGACATACTACTCAGACTCAGCTTTATTATCCCGTTAGGGAAACTAAAATTGCAGCAAGGTACCATAACACAGGCGAAGTTCCATGTACACATTAATAAAAAACTCGGCTCGCATACTGATTTTAGCGTACTGTTTATTATGGAGGTATGCGGTATTGGACGTAAAAATTGTCTTTTATTGACGGAGTGTTAACACCATTTAATCCTGATGGAATATGTCCATCATTAAAATGTACTGGTTGTGTAATGTCTATAAATTTATTATATATATATATATATATTGTTTTTTTGTAATTTTAAAAGTTATTTATAGTAGAAACCATTAGAACTCCTGTGATATTTATATTTATTTAAGAAAGAAGCTACTTACATACAGTAAAATGCATTCCCTCTATAAACTTTCCTTATTTTGTCACACAAGTGGTCATAACCTTTTATTATTTTTCACTTCTGTTCAACAAAAGAAAATAAGATATTGGGAAGAATATTGGGGAAAAAAGCAGCCATTGACATCCATAGTAAGAACAAAAATTAGGCCTACTATTGAAGTCGATGGCTGTTTTTTTTTTGTTTTTTTTTTCCGAAAGTGAGAATATACAATTTTTTAGAATCAGATAGAAAAATAGTTTAAACAAATATTACCCCATATATATTCCCCATCCCCCCACCCCATTATACACACATCAGGAAACACAGAATAACTATAGTTTAGACCAAGCTGTTAGATAATTTACATTAAGTTGTCATCCGTAGCATCAGATGAGGGTTAAATGTCCAAGATTTCTTTGACGTTGCATATACAGATTTTCCATGCCGTAAGAATGTCCACTTTGGCATGGTTTATCCGTGCTGATGACAGATACAGCTGATGTTCCAGATACAGTATTTCCAATAATACTGTAATACTGTAAGCTCAAAATTCTTCATTTGAGTAAAAAAGGAATAAAACAAGTAGATGTTGAGTAAATGTTTGGGTGAACTGCCCCCTTTAAGGGTGACCCCATTCAATAACGCGACCATAAATTACAGTTCAGTGTATAACATTCTGTTGTCGTTATTATTGATAAATAAAATGTTGGGTATTATTTCAAAAGGTATCAGCTATTATTGCATTTATTTTAGAAAGCAAGCAAGCCACTTGAGCCCAAGCATTAGCCAGTTTTAAGAGAGGCACCACTTGAGTTTTAACGGTTGTTCTGTTTGTCTGAACGGCCCCTTTAAATGTCAAGCTACCTATTGGCTCTACAAATGAGCAGAAAAGGCCAAACAACCTGCTCCTGTTTGTCCAAACACAACAAAAGTCACAGAAAACCTCCAATCCATTTATAGGATTAAAGCTGTCATGAACTTTGCCATATATGAATAGGGCAATGGCCCCTTGGAAGCAAACACAAGCGCGCTGTTCAGAGATCAGGGTTTTTGCGGGGTTTGGGGAACTATAATAGCACTCAAGCACAACTAGACAGCAGACAAACTTGCTTGCTCATTTTTCTGACAAGCCATGCCAGGATACTTACGTTCACTGACTGTACAACGCGGCCGCACGGCGGAAGTGTCGCAAGAATGTGGTGTGTGGGTTTGATGTTTGCTCACGGACCAATCAGAGGTGGAGGAAGATCTGGACGGACCAATCATAAAGCATTCAGTTGAGTTTCGGTCGTTGACAGCGTTTAAAAGCGTAAACAGCGTCATCTGTTGGTTATAGTGGTAATTACTACATAAATATGTACATTTATTTCGAATTAATGAAGTTATTTAATTCTAAAGTGTACTAGTGTATGGTCTTACTGTGTAAAAGTTTATAGATAAGATGTTTTTCCGGGAATTACATTTTATGAAACCTTAATTTGACAAAAAATAGGATAAATACAAATCATAACTGACAAATTCACGTTTTTTCTGTTTGTTTTATTCGTATAATCACTAAATAAACCCAAACATTTTTTATTCTAATTAATCAAATTATTTAATTATAAAGTGCATGGCCTTAGTTTGTAAAAGTTTACAAAATTCGCCCAAAAATATGACAAATACAAGTACAAACTGGGGGGGAGATAAGGTCGTTCTCAAGAGCTCCCCTAGTAAAGGTGGAAAAGGGAAGATGGGGTGAAAGTGGAGATTCTTAAAAAAAAACGAAGATAAGGGAGTAATGCTAGACAGGATTATTATTTTGAGTTTGGATTAATCCGATCGGTTTACTAATGATTAAAAATGGGAGACCAGCCGCGGTCAATCATTTCACATTATCCTTTCGAAGTTTGTAAAATTCACTTAATATTGAATACTATCATTTATCATGATTTACTAAAGCATATTTATTGGTTATGTTGCAGAAATGGTCTTCCATAGGTTTAAGATCACCTTCAAACATTGAACCAGTCCTAATTTAATAGTAGAAAACAACTTTTAAATGCAATACTTCCCCTACAGCTAATTATAGCAATACAGGCCCGTAGTCAGCCTGGTGAAAGTGGTGGTTCTTTTTTCTCAAAATGTGGACTTTTTGCAGTTATTCACCTCATTTTCTATTTCATTATGTTTAAATACTGCAGTAAAAGGCATTTTAAGCACTATTTTTTTTAACTGGATTAGCTTGTTGTATCCTCCATTTTTGATGTACCCAAATATTTCCTAAAGATTTATAATAAACAAATATATATATATATATATATATATATATATATATATATATATAAAAGAGCTTCACAATTTTCTTCTGGCCCCTCTTAAAAATTCACAACAGACTAATTAAACAGCAAATTCAGTCTAAGGCACTCGAAAATGTGGAAAAAAATATTAAAAAGCCTCTACTGACATGGCAATTTCTTAAAACTGCACCTACACGTTTTGATAGCACTTGACTTCATCAGGGTAACCAGATGTAGCCGCAGTTTTAAGGAACACCCGGGTCAATGAAAGCTTTTTATTATTATTTTCCACATTTTTTGAGTGCCTTTGACTGATTTTGATGTTTATTCTGATGAATCCCTTGCACAAAGAGCACCGACACATTATATAAGCAACTTGGTTTGATTTAGGATTTTTATACACAGCCTATTAGTATTAAAATGAACTATAATAGGCTGCTTTTGGTGCTTCGGAACTTTTCATTGGTCAATTTTTTCTCTCAAGAATTAGTTCAAGATTCAGAATAAAAGTTAGGCTACTTGTAAAATGTTTTTTTGTTTAACAACAGTAGGTCAATAGTGAAAGTTGACTTCACTAATGTCATATTGTGCGTTTTCTTAACCTTCGATCCACAATTTATGATGACGTAGCAGTCAAAATAGGTCAACTGAGAATATAGTGGCAAAAATTCTGGACCAATGGCAAATTCTGGACCCTTTGTCGGTGGGGGGGTTATATATGTCACGAAAATAAATCCACTCCTACAAAACCGGTCTTCACAGCTAAAGATGGAGACAAGATCTTGCACAAGAATGACACAAAAAAAACTGTTTTCCACATGGTCGTTTATTGTTGTATGACAGAAGATTCTTTAGTCAGGACAACTGTGCGTAAAGATTCAGATTGGAAATAAACTCCTTCAGGTGTTGCCCCAAACACTCCAAGCAGAGGGAAGTTACATTGCGAACGTTTCTGGTTTAGTAACACACACACACACACACTCATACACTCACGCATACAGGACATGAAGACCCACACACTCGATCACGGCCAGCTGTGAAATCTACAGGACTTTAGAGTCGGGAACTCTGGAAGTTTGAGTCTAGCGTCTGCCGTGTGTTTGTGGAGTGCTGGAGTCACGCTGAGAGGAAGGTGAGCGCCGTGTCTCTCTCCTCCACCAGCTCGGCAGCCGTGGCGTCCATCTTTCCACGGGAGAAATCGTTGATGGAGAGGCCGTCAACCACCTTCCAGCTCTTGTTCTGTTATAGGAGACACACAGATGCGTTTTTCAAGATGAGAAAAAAGTATAATGGAGACATCGATTAGATTAACCCTTGTGTGCTGTCGGGGATGTTTTCATCCACTCTGGGGGGATTTCGAGTCTTGATTTGGCCACACATTTCTCTCGGTTTTAGCAAAGGAAATGATTTTGGGTGACAACTCTTATTTTGAGACATATTTTGGGAAAATGCTTATAATATTTCTGAATTAAATATTAAAATGGGACTTCTAAACCAATGTAATGTGTTTTCTCTTGCAGTTTATAAAGTGGTGTGCAAAAAAAAAATTAAAATAAAAAAATTAACTATTAACCTACTGTTGTTAAACAAAAAATATAATGTAATGTGAGGGGGCAGGTGAGACACTCAAAAAATCACGTGTGTTGGGTAAGCAACGTCTATAAGTCAAGTAAAACAATTAATTGCAAACTATAAAATATCATGATTTGATTGTGTAATGACCACCACCCTCCCTATCCTTAAGTCACCACTAGAGGGCAACGCCTATAAATTGCTCAGTAATTTGGGTTTAGTAGCTTCCCATCCAGCACCTTATAATCAGCATTGGCCGGTGTGTAACAGGTGTTTGTTGTCTTACGCTAAAAATAAATATGAGCAGCATACTCCAGCAGCTAAACGAATGAGAACAATTTAGCTCCCCCTTTATGGCAAAGCGGAACGAGGTTTGTTTGTTTGTTTAATTGTTTGCTGGTACTTTAAAGGGTCACGAAACACCAAAACATTTTTTGAGCTGTTGACAGTCGTATATGTGTCTCACACTGCTAAAAACACTATTAGGACACCTATATTTCACTAAAAAGTGTAAATTGGTTGTTTTTGCATTATTTCAAGTAAATTCGTACTTCCTGTTTGAAACGAATTTTTGAAGCTGCATCACGGTCATGACATAATAGCGTGTATTCCAGCGTGCAGACTGGGTGTCTGTGCCAGAGTGTTTCTTATTATGTCTTACAGTGTGATGCATTAATGCATGAGTAAACTTTGGTTCAAACCAATCAGCGCGCTCTATTGTGCAACTTCATTAATATTCATTACTATCACCGTGTTTACACAACAGAGACGCCACGTTGTGTTGGCAAAACAAGCGTGAAGTGTTGCTTTTATAGTTTGCTGCCGTTAAGTTTCGTTTTCATTTTCTCTCTGTGAGAGCTCAGCTTGAGTCACGTGTGGATTAACAGTGTACGCGACGCTCGACAACAATAACTTACGTGTCTAAGGAGGAACATTGTTTACCTGAGAGCTGTTCTCATCTGCAAACGCTGAGATCCGGATTCGCTTGTAGTCTTCTCTTAATAAAGACGCGGCTCTAGTTGCTGGTGATTGTCCTGTCTCTACAGATTTGGTAAGTGAACGACCAGCGCTCTTTGTTTATTCAGTTTGTTCGTATCGAACTAAGTTAACTATTGCACCGAGTGTAAACATGTTAGCACCACAACCAAACTTTAACCTCGTGTAGGGTTTTTACCGCATTTTGTGACCGGAATAACACACGCGGCTTTCTGACACTACCTGCCGTGTGCATCTAAGTTTCCGGGAAATGCTGAGGGTTTTTTTTCTCTCATTCGCCGTGCGGTATCAAACATTGCATGAAAAATACACACTTAAAGCAGTTCCTCTAATCAAATATCTCGTTTGTCGCGAGAGGCATGAATGAATTCCCTGAATGAAAGAGCCAAACTGCTGTTAAAGTCCACCATTTAATAATTTGGCAAATAATTCGACTACAGATGTCCATGTAGGTTAAACACCATCACTTTCTACCGTGTGTTTATTTTGACTCTGAAACTCGCGCGTGAACAAATAGACACTCCCACACCATCCCACTTTTCTTCCTCCGACACTCCCCCCTAAACAGAGCTGGACACGCCCACTTTTCTGACTTTTTCCAAAGTAGAGGTGTGAAAACACCCTGCTGAAACGAGGGGGTTTCATGGCCCTTTAATGTTGTTTATCGAATTGTGCACTGTGTTTGAATGGTGCACTGTGTTTGTATTGTGAATGTCTGTGTATATTATGCTTTACGTTCTTGTGATCGTTTACACTGTGTTTTTTTTCCGGTTTGTGTAGTTTTACGGTGTTCTTGTCAACTCGGTGACAAGTGAAGCATTGCAGTGTTTCATACTGTTCAAATAAATCACCCTGCAAGCATCAGTGAGAACTCTCTGCCGCCTTCTTTGATGCCATGGGGCTGCTACAGATTGTATGGTTTTAATTGGGTGTTTTATGAGATTATTCAATTTTTTGTAATTATTTTGTGTTTAAATTAAGAATTTTGCGAGACTTTTTCTTGATTTTGTGTTGGATTCAGCAATTAAAAAAATATTATATTTAAAAAATATACCAAACAAACAAACATGCTTGCATAACTGGAATTATAGGGTAATACAAGTCACATACTCAATGCTTTTGGACTCAACCATAACAATAACAGCTAAAATAATTGCATTGTTTAATTTCTAGAATTGTTTTTACAGTTGATGAATGATAATGCTATTGGCAACCAATCAGAATCCAGCTAGCTTTAAAGCGACAGGGCTCTTATAATGTTATGCATCAGAGCAGATGCTAATGTTGATTGTTTGTGATGTGAAAGGGCCTTAAAGCGAGTAAAACCAACCTTGATCTTTACAGGGAAGGAGTACATGAGGTCATCAGGAACTCCATAGGAATTGCCAGAAGAGTAGATCCCCATAGACACCCATTCACCCTGTTCAGAGAGACATTGAGGTAATTATTTAGCATTAATATATTCTGTGTTCATAACAAACTCTACACTCAACTTTCCACTAGGACATCTAGACAGTCGATGGATCTGTAAATGGTTCATGGGGCAAACTCACATCTGGAGTGCCGAACCAGATGTCCCTCATGTGGTCACAGATGGCTTTGGCAGCAGACATTGCGCTTGAGAGTTTTCTGGCCTTGATGACGGCTGCACCTCTCTGCTGCACTGTCTGATCAAGGACAAATTGAAGAAAGAAAGGAAATTAGACAACAAAATTACAATGTAAGATACAGGAGGTCAAGAATATATTCATTAGATCACAAGGATCCCTATAGAGATGGCTGGATTTTACCTGTAAAATAATAATAAAAAAGAAATAATAATTAAATATATTGTTTTCTTAAATGATAAAATAATTACATAAATAAAAAAAAACTAAGTGAAAAATGAAAAAAATATAATAAAAATATAATGAAATAAAAAAATTTATAAAAATAAAAAATAAATAAATATAAAATAAAATGTATAAAAACAAAAAAATTAAATATATAAAAACAAAAAATAAATAAAAATGAAAAAAGTAAAAATATAATAAAATAAAATAAATAAATATGAAATAAACATAAAAATAAAATAAATATAATATATAAAAATAAATAAATTAAAATAAAATAAATAAATGAGATAAAACAATATATAAAAAAATAAAAATAAACATTGCAGGGCTCCCCAATTAGGCCAAATTTATGTGATTATATATCAATATGTGTGACTATTTTTATTGATATACAAGTTAATGCATGAATCAAAGTTCACATTTTTACTAATATTTATATAAAAGTTTTATTTTTACTAAATACAATATAAGAAAAACAAGATGAAATTTGATTTTACATTACAAGAGCATTTATTATTTTTTAATTGCAGCTTTTATTTTATAATAAACATTATTAGCATTATTAACGCTTTCCTTAAATTGTCATGATATTTTATCTGAATTCTTTATTATTATTATTATTAATACTACTACTAAATTTAATAAACTCATATTCATAGCAGAAAATATTCTGAGGGCCGTCAATTTTACGCGAAAATAATCAAAAATGACTCATAACATCTTTAAAAAATGTTGGCGGTGAAAAAAAAAAAAAAAAAAGTTAAGGCTATTTGCTCAGCATTTATTAAAACAAATAATTTCATTAGGTCTCACACACAAATCATGCGTGCAAAAAAATATTGAGACCTTTTTGAAAAGTGCATACAAACACAAAATAATCCAGACATGCATCTGTGAATGAGACTCATATCGATATCGTCCTTTCCAACAGGACCTCTAAAATATTGCATTATTCCATCCTAACATAAGCAGAATTTATTAGACAGCAAATGAGAAATTTCCTTTTTTTATATTAGCATCTCATCTGGCATTGGACTTACAGAGATAAAGTCCCCCTTCAGCCAGCTTTCGTCATTCACAGCATCAAAAGCGGCGATCTCCTTCCCATTACGGGTCACGATAGCATGGTGCACATCCGGGTACTGAGTAGAGGAGTGATTCCCCCAGATAGTCACGTTCTTTACACTGTCAGAGGGCACACCGACACGCATCGCCACCTACAGGCACAGAGCAAAAACTGCATATGAGAGAGAAGCCTGTACATTTCATAATGTACCACAACAAAAGCTAAAGGGAGAGCTACAACTCCTCTAATACCACAAACGACAATCATATGCAATGTCAAAGTCAATCTGATGGTCTACAATCTAGTCCATTACTAGAAAAGGTTGCTCAAGAACAGTGGTTTCCAAACGTTTATCAACAGGGCCCTTATTTCAACACTCAAAATCCTAAATCAACCCCTAAAACAATGCAAATGAATATGCAATTCGCTAAAGCTCCGTCTAAACTTTCACATTTGTCTAAGCCAGTCTGTGGTCTGAATAAAAACGGCAGACAGTCAGAATGAAAATGTAGTTTCATTTACACAACACAAATCAAATGCTGCGACTGCTTAACATGTTTACAATTTACATATATTATTACTGTACATGAATATGCTATTAATTATCGTAAAAAATGTCATCTTAACCTTGCGGTATTTGGTTTATCACCAAATTGGCTTTACTTCATACTAGAGCAGTGTTTCTCAACCATGTTCACCAACACTGCATGTTTTGGATGCCCTTTTTGTCATTCACACCAGTTACAGCTCTTTTAGTCCCTGCTAATGAGCCGGTCCTCCAGGAACGTGGTTGAGACACACTGTACTAGACTGAGTTTGGTGCCCGTTAATTAATCTTTGGTGACCCCTAATTGAGGTAATGACCGCCGGGTTGGGAACCACTGCTCTAGATGTTATCTAGATGTGGGACATTGAGAGAAAAGCTTTGGTTACCTGCAACTCTGGAAAGCAAAAAGACTGAGTTAGAGCACATCATTAAAGCAGAACGAACACTGAAGGTGAATGAGGAAGGCGGTGGTTTCGGACCTGAGAGCGAGCCCTGTTGTGGTCCAGACGGGTCAGGCAGGAGAAGTTCTCCTTAGGAATGGAGGGAGCGGATTTGGAGGCAATCAAGCAGTTGGTGTTGGCTGGGTTCCCGACAACTAGCACCTATTTAAAAAAAGAAAAGATAAAGCAAACAGTTTTTACAAATATATAATGCATTCATATACAGAAACAAAGTGATGTTAAAAAGAACAGGAAAATGGTTAAATATTTCCCTATCAATATCACATTTTTCTTCTGGAGAAAAGCCTTTAACTTTGGCTGGAATATTTATTTGAGATCGTAATATTAAGAATTTTCTTTGTTTTGATTGGCTACAGAGCTTGCCTAATCACCCTAACTTGCATAGTTACCCTAATTAACCTAGTTGAACCTTTAAATGTCACTTTAAGCTGAATACTATTATCTTGAAAAATATCTAGTCAAACTTTATGTACTGTTATCATGGCAAAGATAAAAAATCTTAGAAAATTTAAATAATAGTTAAATCAATTAACTTTTTTTTTACTTATTAAAATAAAGGTTATATGTTAAATCACATTTCACAGGAGGGTTAAAATGGTCTTTAACTTTATATAATCTTGCTTTATTACAGATTTTTACTTTGACAAACTCAAACAATAATCACCCAACAAAGATTCTTTAAATTATTACACTCATAATATTTGCTAATTAATAACCACCTCATGTGGAACTCTGAATCTGCTTCTCATTTCAGTGTCTGCTACTGTCCACCAGAGGTCGCATTTTAAGTCATGGATTTGTTATAAGAGCCTTCATGACTGAATGAAATGCATGATTTTCCATGAAGGCAACCCAGGGTGCTGAAATATAATTGGCTAAACTGACATTGGGCAGATTAAAAGAACCAAGACAAAGACAGATGTTCTGGCACATAACGCACAAAGCAGAATATGAGACTTCAGCAATGTTTTTCAGATAAACAAAAATGTTGACTTAGCAGGTTTTCTAAATATCTGCAAACATGTTATATTTTTTATGCTTTAGAAGTGTCAGCACCTTTAAATACAGCTGTTCAGGTTATATGCTAAAAATTCCCCCCAATCCCCACCAATAACATAAAATTCCCAATATTGTTTAGTGAAATTACAGATTAACAAGAGATTGATTCATTCAATTAGAAAATCATTTTTTTTTTTAAAAACAAATGTTATATTATTGGTTACTACACAGTAACCCAAAGAGCACAAGTTTCATCATTTGTTTTTTTATGCTTACCTTGACGGTCTTCTTGGCATACTTCTCCAGTGCTTCACCTTGGGTTTTAAAAATGGCCACGTTGGCCTTCAGCAGGTCCTTCCTCTCCATGCCCTCTTTTCTGGGCATAGAGCCCACCAAGATGGCAGCATCAAGATCCTTGAAGCCCACCTCAACCTTATCAGTGGGAATCACCTCTGTGGAAGAGGAAGGCACACAATGAACGTGTGAATGAGGACCATAAGTCTAGGACCAGGAAGTCTTGATTAGCATATCAAGTAGAGATCATCTTCCATCAGAATGTTTTGTAAAGGTCTTTCTGTTATATTTTAAACTTAATTTTTGATTCATTACATGCATTGCTAAAAAATTAACTTGGACAACTTTATTTAGATTTTTTTAAAACTCTTAGCTTGCAAATAGTTGCATCTCAGCCAAATATTATCTTATCACAACAAACCAAACACCAGTGGAACCTTATTTATTCAGTTTTAGATGTATAGGTCTTATTTTTTTAAATTAAATTTCTTAAACTAACTGTTTTGTGGTTCAGGTTCAAAAACAGATTATATGCACTTTATATTGTCAATATTCTCCCGTTTATATAGGCCTATTAGTGTGTGTGTGTGTGAACCGTTGCGTGCAATGTTTGTATGATTACAGCCACTTCCGAAATCGGGAGTCTCTGACATTGTTATCTTGGGGGCTGAAAAGTTTGGAAACCCCTGCTCTAAATGACAACATGATTATTTAATATCTCGAAGAAATGTCACGCAGAACAAAACAAACATTACATTTCAATCAAATACATAAATATCAATCATAAATCCAGATAAACCTAATTGCTCATGCAATTAAAGTGACAGTTCACCCAAAAATGAACATTTCTAAACATTTATAAATGTCTTTCTTCTGCTGCCCAAAAACAAAAGATATTTTGAAGAACGTTTGGGGAAAAAAAAACACCTATTGTCATTCATTGTAGAAAAATAAATAAATAAATAAATAAATACAATAAAGTCAATGGCTGTTTTTTTTCTCCAGTATATCATCATTTGTGCTCATCAGAACAAAGAGACCGGAGCACGTGTCAAAGCCAGTTCCTGGAGAGCCGCAGCTCTGCACAGTTTAGTTCCAACCCTAATTAAACACACCTGATCAAACTAATCGAGTCCGTCAGGCTTGTTTGATACCCACAGACAGGAGTGTTGAAGCTGGGTTAAAACTAAACACTGCAGGGCTCCGACCCTCCAGGAATAGACTTCCACAGCCCTGCAGTGGAGGATGAGTAAATGGCAGAAATTTCCTTTTTGGGTGAACTATCCTTTTAAGAAATGCAATCGACCGAAATAATGAACTCGCATAACCTGCTCATGCAAACAGGTACAGCATTGCGAAACGCTGCCACATTAACACTTGCACCCACGTCTATTCTCCCTCAGGATCATGTGCTGACACGGATTATCTCCTGACACTTTCATCTCATCATCGCCGACCATAAATCATTTATCTGCGCTGTGTGTGTGTTTTCTAAAGCGACAAATTTCATTGATAATCCTCAGCGTAAGTGCTAGTACAGAGATATTAATCAGTGGACTTCAACCAAAGCTCAACTTCAGTGATGCAAGATGTTCTTTGGACTCCTCCTGCATTGTTGTAGCACCATCACGTTTCTCATTGGATCATGACTAGTTCATGTTACGAGCCAATACGGGCAGCCGGAGAGGGTTACTCCTCCCTGCTCCACAAGTACAGCCTAACACAGACTGCTTTCTGTCAGATCTGTTCTGCACAGTCATGCTAGCTCTTCTGCATTTTAATACAGTCCAGATGTGGGCTAGAAATAAATCAAGCCCAAGTTCAAATAGGTAGTCTTAAGCGTCATTTAAGTGTACATCCAGTTCAACATTATTAAATAAGCCAAGATACTGCAGACTAAAACACAGTTTCTTCAAGCATCTGTCAATTTGACATTTACATTTGTGTTTTCTTTTGGCTATTCATAGTGTTTTTTTCACCCAGGCGAAAACCGAACATCCCAAATGCTCTTGAAAGTTTTTTTGAATTATAATACATACTTTACAGTTTTTTTTAATGAGTTCTTTCTCCTGGAAGTCATAAATCTCCACATTAGCAGCTCTTACATACAACTTTACAGTTTTATTCATATCAATATATTCTGAGGTTTTTTTTTTTTTTTTACAGAGAAATGTGTTGATATATAATTTGCCAGATTATATACTAAATCTTGCAGTTTGTAGTGCTCTCAATTATGGTGGAAAAAAGGGACAGAATGAATTTTAAATTATAGTAATAAAAAAATCTGGGTGCTTTCACATCTGTGGTACGGTTCATTTGGTCCTAAAGGCAGTCATGTGACAAAATCCACATCACTCATTGGCTAGATGTTGTTGAACGTATTTTCTAAACTGCTTTTCGATTAGTCAGAATTAACGTGCAGGAAAATGTCAATGAAACTCCCGCAAATATACAAACCGGCAGACACTAAATGTCGCTTTTTACTATGGAGGGACGACTGCGCTGGCTGATTGTATCCCTGCTCATAGTATACTATATAGTTTGTATAAATGACTTTAGACAAACTATACATTTCAAGAATGAAGCGCAGCTGCAAAACAATGTTTTAATGCATCGCAAACGGTGAAGGCGTTAGGAGGAGGCATGAATTAATTAAACTGCGACATGGTCATCTCTCGGAAATATTACCAACGATACATCAGGTAATGTTTTCCCTCTCTCTTGCAGTCAACAAATATTTTACCTCCACACCCCATAAGATGAGACAGCGCATCAGACTACGGCAGCTGGATTAGACAAAAAAGGTGCAGTACTTTTTGCGGTTTTAGTTTGGATCATATTCTCACTACAAACAAACCGCTCCTCTTCAAGAAGGTCTTGGTGCGCTTTTTTGGTCCACTTTTGGTGCGCACTTGAATGCAAATGTTACATTCACACCTGCCCAAACAAACCGCACTGAGAGGGAAAATGAACTCTTGTGCGATTCAAATGAACTAAATAATTCAGGTGTGAAAACACCCATAAGACGTGACCGAATTTTAAATTATAATGAAAATAGGGATATGGCGTGAATTTTGAACTGGTGAAAAAAGGATTAGAAAAAAAAAGAGATTTGAAATTATAGTGGAATAGAAAGGAAAATGACACAAATTTGAAATATTAATTTATTCATTCAGCTTAGTCCCTTTATTCATCAGGAGTTGCCACAGCGGGATGAACCGCCAACTTATCCAGCGTATGTTTTACGCAGCAGATGCCCTTCCAGCTGCAACCCATCACTGGGAAACATTCATACACACTCATTCACACACATAAGCTCAAATTTAATGAAGTAGTGCTTATTTGCACATTTACATTAGTGTTGTTTTTATCTGGCTGTTTACAGTGTTTTCTGAATTATGGTGGAATAAACAGGGATATGACACGAATTTAATTATGAATGAAAAAAGTGATTTGACACGACAAACTTTAAATTATGGTGTAATAAAAAGGATATGGCACAAATTTTAAACATGACATCATCCAATGTTTGATTTTTGTGCTAGAAAATGTATGCAAATTATCTCAAATCAAATGAAAGTGCTCATTTGCTATTTTAAATTTAATCTGGCTTTTTGCAGTGTATTCTGAATTACGGTGGAATAAAAAGTAAGATATTGAACAGATTTTAAATTATGGTGGAGTAAAAATAGATATGACACTAATTTTAGAAAATACATCATCCAATATTTGATTCTGTGCTAGAAAATGTATGCAAATTAGCTCAAATAAAACAGTACTCATTTGCATATTTGAAAAAAAAAATGCATAAAAGCTAGAATACTTTCAAATAGTTCCAATTCTTAATGTAATAAACCAACCAGGGAAGAATGATGATTAATATTAGTTAACTGTGTTTTTTTGTTACCCTACAGTATCTGGCCATAAATGGAGAGCAGTAGCTAATTCCTCACCTCTCAGAAGAGGAAGAGCACAATCCTGCAGCTCCATGACGACTCCATCCAGCACCGGCAGCATGGGAGTGATATCCAGGAGCACCAAGATGATTGGCTGAGTGAGGAGGCAGACAGAGACATGCATGTAATGCAATCAGCCACAGCGCAGCACATTCGGAATGTATAAACAACAGGCATGCAATTTTAATTAGCCGAGCAGTACACTCCACATGACTTATTTTGCATTTCAGGCTAAACATATTATAATTATGCAGCAAGTCATGAAGTTTTCCCATTTGGTTAGCAAGAAGTTTGTATTCTTTTAAATAGGATCATGAATATGAATTTAATACATTAACAGGTACAAATAAGAATGTGGTTTCATTTCCATATTTATATCAATTCAATTCCATCAAACCCATTTTATTTTTAATCTCACAAAGGTTATTTGTGATCTTCAAGCAGCCATTTGCATTTAATTTTGTTTCCATATACATCGCTTTTATAATTTTACAAGATTTAGCAACTCACAAGCCTGTATCTATAAACACATCCAGTTATATTACAGATATCATTTAAAGTAACTTAATATCCATCATGACTGCATCTCGTAATAGACTAAAGATTAGACCATGTTACATTGCATTTATATATATTTTAGCAATTAAATACAAGCAATTTTAGCAACTATACATATAAGATTTAGCAATTCACAACCATTTCTCTCTAAAAACATTGTTGTAACTTAACTAAAATAACTCATTCTTCATGAATGCACCTTGCAATAGACTAAAGATTAGACTATGTAATGCTGCATCTATGCATTTTATAAATGCATAAACTTTTTTTTTGTTTAAATAAACCTTTACAATTTAAACCACTTCAATATTGTCTATTAATAAAATTTTCGCTCTCCAGAGAAAACCACTCAACAATGCTCCAAACTTACCTTGCTTAAAAAGGTTTTCAACACAAAATAAGTTCCTCACAGTGATACAAGTATTACAGCCTAACAAAATTGGGGTAAAGTTGGTTTATATTTCACATATTCAGACTTTCTACTTGATAATGTAATTTTTGCCACTGTGTGGATTAATACAAAATGTGTGTGTGTGTGTGGGGGGGGGGGGGGGGGTTGGTTTGGGAATGAGGTGTCTGAATAATAACACTGTTGAGAAACGGGTATTGTGTACTGGGGTGTTAGTAACTACTATGAAGCATGTTTTGGGCCGCCGCTGCGATCAGACGATCAGATCCTATACAAATGTTGGCGACCCAGGGGTTTCATAGACCATACAAAAATGCTGATGAGGGGGATGGTTAAAATTACAGGAGTTTTTTCTGGGAGAAATAATTAAATGGGAGGGTGGCGGGAGATGGATCTGAAATACGGGCGACTCCCGAAAAAAACGGGAGTGTTGGCAGGTATGCTCCCACATACACTCTGCACTCTGACTACTTCAATATTGTTGATAAGCCATGGTGGACATTTCTTTCTGTCTCGCTCTGAACGCTCTCGACCGTCATCGGTTCAATCAGCGCGGATAAGCATCGTGCTAAGGAGGGATTCGGGAAAAAAATGAAATCGCTGCACGAATCATATGCGAGTCGCTGGGATAATTAGGTAAAAATAAATGCATATTATAAGACCACGAAAAGTGTTTTTTGACAGATTAACATGTTGTTGGAGACCCTTAAATCCAAAACATGAACCTTTTAAATGTATAATATGGGCTCATTAAGACATTTTAAGACCCCACAGGCACCCTGTAAACAATAATCACTGTTCAAATATGAACGAATGTGAGACTATAAAACCAACTTTTCTTCAATCCTAACAAAATGTTTGATGGATTGTTTACGACCAATATTTAGAGATCCATGATGTTTCTGCAATCAAAAATAACTCATATTTGCCTGTTTCTAATTATCAGTTGATGGCAATCTCAAAATAACAACAAAGTGATACATGCATACACACAGTAAGCTAAATATAGTGCAGGAACAGTGACTGCGCGACTTTTATTCTGAGCAGACTCGCATCACAGTGAGACGCATATTTTAATCACACATGCTTAGTTACATAACACTGATGCATGATTTAAAATCCAGTTTGCTCCACTTGCGGGTTTATTTCCCCCTTCAATGTCCTGTTATGCAATAAGACAGGGGGGGGTCTCAGACAGTCTCACCTGGTCCTTGCCGAACACATCTCCTTTAGCGATGCTGTAGAGCAGAGAATAGGCGATCTGTCCGGCGGCGCCAGTCACCAAAACACGGATCGGTTCGGCCTGCAAAAAAACAACACACACAGTCAATGCCGTGAACAGCGTGACCTATTTATCACTACAAAGGCCTAGTGTCCGAAATGAGTACTTATATCAAAGATTATATCATAAAATTCAGATTTGAGCGTTTATTTATGACGCTTTCTGCGAAATTCCTCAATGAATGAATGAAAGGGTGATGCAACTGATGCTCAGCTCGACGACACGCACTGTAACGATGGAGACGTCATTATGTGCGCGAACTTCGACGTAAATTTCCGTCCTTAAGTATTCACAAGACAAAATAGCGCAAATGGGTGCAAAATATGGCATCCCATAGTTACAATCACATTTACACGGAAAAGGTCGTTTTTAAAACACTTCAAAAACATTTCTTAAAAAGAATCCCTTTGATTTAACATTACGTGGCTGCTAAACAAACATTTCACATCCATTTCAATTCCCAAATCTCACCCAAAAGTGTTTCAATTAAACAATCCGCTCACGTTGTGCATAAGCATCTCCCAGCATGAATTACGCTAAAACATTGTGCTGGACTAAAATGGAGGGCTGAGAGTCTCACCATGATTCGGGTCTGATTGTGCAGGTTGAGATGTGCGCCAAAGATGTGCTGCTCTGCCACTCAGACCGAACGGAGGGTCACCTCTATTCTTGTATGGAAATGTCATACGCTTTCACTGACACGAAAATGCTGCACACTGGGATATGTAGTTGATTTCGCCGCTCTCTGCATACACCCAGCGAACTAAAAGAACTTCATTTCCCATGACCACCCTCTCTGTAGGCATCCCACTTTACACGCCCACTGCACTGCCATATAAGGAACAAAAACCTTTAAAAAAACGAATAAAGGTCGACTTCGGAAACTTTTACCGAGTATATAATGACAGATTTGAAGACTTGATTAGTTTATGAATTCAAATATATTAACTATATATGTTTAAATCACCTGTAATATCTCATTTAAACTGATTAACTTTAAAGTTATGTCGTTTGAATGAACAAATAAGCATCTATTGTAAACACTTTCAACGTCATCCTGACGACATCAAACTGTGTAGCCTCTAAACAAATCCTCATATATTTTGGAAAATATATATACACTAAAAAACGTGTTAAATATTGGTCGTATGTTCAAGACACAATAATAATAAAAATATACATATTTACTAAATATACTAATTGTATTAGCTGGGTCACAGAATATACTCTAAGCTGTACATTAATACTACTAATAACAATATATCCTGCTCAAGTGTTGATATCATGTTGGATCAACCTTCAGATGACATTAACAGGACAAATACAGCAGTAAGAGGCCGCTGCAGAGTCTTGCGGCCTATTTTAGCGCAACTTGCTCTGGAGCACAACAAGATTTTGTGTACGTTTTCAAATCATGCTGGATAGCACAACTATCATGTTTTGCTTGTGCATCTGTTATAGAAATCAGCAGATGTTAAATATAATTTTGAAATAGATTTTGCAAACCATATTAACAGACAGCATTTAGCATAATAGATCAACTAAAAGTGAAAATATGCCTGATATTTATTTATTAAGATGTAGACGATTACATTCAATACAACATTTGAATCCTTGTTGTAAACAAACAAGTAATAATGTAAATAATGTTCAGTTTCTTGCATAAATGGCTGTTTCACTTCAGTGTATCATCAGGAATTAAATGAGTTATGGCTGTATGTGTTTACTTGACTCGCAAGCACCAGTAACTACTGACTTTAATCAAGAAGGAGCAGTTTCAGATAAAACCCTTCTTTAATCTTCTACTGCAGAAAGTCAACAACATCGTGAATGGCTTGAGGGTGAATAAATGAAGATCAAATGTTCATTTGTGAGGAAACTATCCCATTAAAATTCACAACAGAAGCATTTTCACTCCTACTACTACTATAAATAAACAATTACCAAGCGTAAAGACACTTAGTTTTTATAAAACAAGCTCATTCATGTTGGATTTAGTGTGAAAATTCCTAATTTAGCTCTACTTCTGTTAGCACAGAGTAGCATAAACTCTCAATTGTGTGATACCAAACAATTTTAGAGACATAATTTCACTTTGCAAGTATTTAAGGGATAAATCACCCCAAAATAAAAATGTATTCACCCTCAAGTGTTTCCAAACCACCTTAATAAGTTTCTTTCTTCTTTTGAACACAAATTAAGATATTTAAAAAAATATTAGAACCATTGATTTCAGTAGTTTATTTTTCATATTAAAGAAGTCAATGGTTACAGGTTTCTAAAATGTTTGTGTTCAACAACAACAACAAAAATAATTACTCATTATTTTACACAACCTTTAGTTGTCGCAAACATGTTTGAGTGTTTTTTCCTGTTGAACACAAAAGAAGATATTTTGAAAAATGTTAGAAACCTGTAACTATAGACTTCCATAGTATTTTTTCTATGACAGTCAGTGTTTTAGTCAGTTACAGGTTTCAACATTTGTTGTGTTCAAACATGTTTTCTTTTCGGTTGAACACAAAAGAAGATATTTTAATAAATGTTAGAAACCTGTAACCATTGATTCCATTGTTTTCTTTTTTCTTACTAAGTGTAACGGAGGCCAGCTAGTAAGTGCTGTGCAGGTAAACCTCACTCCTCTGACCTCTAAAGGTGCGCTAGAGGCCATGGTCTTTAGCCTCCTTGTTAGAGCCACTGACTCCCATGCTGAAGGTCACCAGTTCGATCCCAGCTCGGAGTGGGTTGGGTGGTGTAGGACCGGCGGGTTACATAAGGAAGTCAATAAGGAAGTCAATGGTTACAGGTTTAAAAATTATTGTGTTCGATAACAACAACCCTCAGTTGTAGCAAACATGTTTGAGTGTGGTTTTTCTGTTGAACACAAAAGAAGATATTTTGAAAAATGTTAGAAACCTGTAACCATTGACTTCCATAGTACTTTTTTCTACTATGAAAGTCAATGGTTACAGGTTTTTAAACCCACTGACTTACATTCTAACCCACTATCTTACATACATAGTAAAAAAATACTAAGTCAATGGTTACACATTTCTAACGTTTTGCAAAATATCTTCTTTTGTGTTCAACAGAAAAAAACATGTTTGAACAACAAACCTTTTGAAACATGTAACCATTGACTTTCATAGTAGGAAAAGATATCATGAAGGTCATAGGTTACAGGTTTCCAACATTTTTCAAAATATCTTCTTTTGTTTTCAACAGAATTTTCTCAAACTTCAGCTGTCGAAAACCTGCTTGGTGTGTTTTCTCTGTTGAACACAAAAGAAAATATTTAGAAAAATGTACCCATTGACTTATAAAGTATTTTTTTCTTACTATAAAAGTCAATGGTTACAGGTTTCTAGCATTTTTAAAATACCCAAACATAACACACAAACAGGTTTGCGACAACTGAAGGTTGAGTAAATGGTGAGAGATTTTTATTTTATGGGTGAACTATCCCTTTAATTCATGAACCACTGTCACTAATTTACAATGTCCTTTCTAGCTGAACAGGAACCATGGAGATCACGAGCATATCCTCAAAAAAGAGCAGCAAGGTCATTTTGATCATGTGCTTTCACTTCTGTAGTCCTCTTTGTTGTGTTTTTAACCCTTTTTGACACATTAAAGTGACAGTTCACCCCAAAAATGTACATTTCTTCACCATTTCTCACTTAAGTGGTTCTAAACATGTCTCAATTTCTTTACTATTGAACACAAAACAAGATATTTTGAAGAATGTTGGAAAAAAGCAGCCATTTATTTATTTATCAGGACCCCTATTAGCCACAACCAAGGAAGTGGCTATTCTTCCTGGGGTCCATCGAAGACAAAACAAAATTACATTAATACATAATAACAAGACCAATAAAATGTACCCACTGTACCCAAAGTACATCCATAGTAGGGACTAAAAATACAATGGAAATCAATGGCTGTTTTTTTCTATGATATTACTCAGAATATCTTCCTTTGTGTTCAACAGAAGAAATGAGCTCAAACAGGTTTGCAACAACAGGAAGATGAGTAAATGATGACAGAGTTTTCATATTTGGGTGAACTTTAATTTCTACGGCCCTAAAATAGAAAAATAAAAAAACCTGAAAAACAGAATCTTTGTTAAATTCACTACATTTTAGCTAATAACTAAGTAGAATAGTTGCTTTAAAGTCATCACAGATGTTTCTGAAGTAAACATTAGATAGATTTTTACATTATTGTTAGTAATATTTTAAGATTTACTCAACTGAATCAACTTAGATTTACTTGATTAACGTATGTTAAAATGCATCACCTATCATACATTAATCTTTTAAGGATTGTCTGTGTATTCATCTCTCTTCTATTCATTGTTGTCGTACTGCATTGCATTATATGTTTTACCCCTCATTAAATATATAGAGCTCAGATTGTAAAACTTACCGTTTAAATATTATCTTCATTTTCTTTTCGGTTTAGTCCCTTTATAACCTGGGGTCGCCACAGCGGAATGAACCGCCAATTTATCTAGTATGTTTTACACAGCGGATGCCCTTCCAGCTGCAACCCATCACAGGGAAACATTCATACACACTCGTTCACACACATTCACTACGGACAATTTAGCCTACCCAATTCATCTGTACCGCATGTCTTTGGACTGTGGGGGAAACCGGAGCACCCGAAGGAAATCCACGCGAACACGGGGAGAACATGCAAACTCCACACAGAAATGCCAACTGGCTCAAACTAGAGACCTTCTTGCTGTGAGGCGACAGTGCTAACCACCATGTCCTTACAGAAGTACATTACAGGAATTAATTTTGTATCCCAGTAGGATTTATCATATGTACCTGCAGGAAATTGAGATTTCTGTTTGCATTCGTGCAGGACAAACTATGTTCATGAAGAACTTCTCAGATTTACTTCACAGGATTTTTAACAGTCCAAAACATTTAATATCTGTCTTTAGCTTAAGCTTTTGAACAACAGGCTATTATTGATTAACTATTAAAGGACACTCAGAATTAGATCATTGTCAACCCTGGATTGTGATGCTAAATCAATCTATACCAAAAAAAATTATAACACTGGACATAGTTGAACACTCGCATGTAAGAAAATGGACAAGACTATAATGTGCTTTAAAGTGATTCACACGTGTTTTCTGTTTATTTATGGTTGTGAATTGCATTATAGGATGTTGATCTCTGCTTAGTTGACTTTTGATATTGCAAATTTAACTCTAATGTATAACAAAGTGACTTTTATTGACTGTTTTAGTAGTTTGAAATAATATAATGTATAATAAAAAGATAAATAAGTCAGTATACAGAAATATACAACACAAACCCAGACCAATATTTCACTTTAAACTATTAAAAAAGTTCATTAAAGTCACTTTTCTGAACTTTTCAAGGTTAAAAGTTGTTAGAAGAAAGATCAAGGTCCCATAATGCAAAGAAAAAGCATAAATAAACAGGGAAAAATCAAAACACAAATCACAAAATACGAAAAACTGATAGTTTAAGAATATTTTTTACACAATGTATAGTTGAGAAATGTCCACTCTAATAAAAAGCCTGACAACTAGACTTCTACAGTGTCAACTCTGGCTGAATTTTGTCCATTAGGAAAATTCATAATTACACTAACCCAAGATTGAAAAATTACCCTGGATTAACCATTTCAGGTGTGAAAATCCTCTAAAAAACTTGGCTCTTCTATTCTCTTTTCTCCTTCAGGCTAAATGAGCCTTTTACAATCCAAAAGAGTCTCTCTCTGCATTTCTCTGTGTGTTTAAAGCTCAGAGCTGCTCACAGTACAGTGCTAAAGAAAGACTGATGCAGACATTTGCTCCTGTTCGGCACTTCAGGCAACTTAACATTACATAATGCCTGTGAAAGGGTGTGTGTGTGTCCATATGGAGATCCAGACCGGAGCGAGAGCTATCCATGGTGCTGGACTCTGCTTGCCAAAGCCCCGTGAATTAATCATCAATGAGGTCTCTGCCCTCCTGCCGTACTAAGTTTTCAAGACGTGCATTATGAATGAGACAAATGTTTCTGAATACACTACAGCTGGTTTCTAAGAGGTCCACAATGGTTTATATTTGGTTCACCACACTGGAGGAAAATGCTGGGTTAACACAATTTTGGGATAAAATATGGACAAAACCAACCTCTGGGTTAAATGTTTGTAATTTATATTTGTGATCCAAAACTTGAATTGCACTGGTAGCATATTTTTGTTTTTAGCAATAGCTAACAATGCATTTATATAGGTCAAAAATATCCATGTTTCTTTTATACCAAAATTATTAGTGTGTTAAGTACATTTCCCTACTGCAAATATACTAAAACTCAGTTTTTGGTTAGTAATGTACATTGTTTGGAACTTAATTTGAACACTTTAAACTAAAGGCCATTTTCTCAGTGTTTTTATAGGTTAGAACCCTCAGATTCGATGATATCTCAGCCAAAAATTGTCATATCCTAACAAAGGAAAGCTTTCAGGTAATGCATAAATCTCAATATCCAAATATCAACAATAATGACTGGCTTTGTGGTTCAGATTCACATTAGCTATATCTGACCAATCATAACCCAACATTTTTTTGGTGTGCAGTATCCAAAACTAGCATGAGAGCCCTAAATATGTCTGATTAATGCCTGTTCAAATTGGTTTAATTGTATTAATGACCAGTCAGAACCAAATATAGACCACCCAATGACCAATATAGACCCTGTTTGATAGCCTATATGATTCGACCAGCCAATGACCACATTCCATAACACAACAACCATTTTGCAAGCAACAAATCACTTGTTTTATTAAGCATATGACAAAATGTGAATGCTAAGACAAAATCCTCAGATATGTTGACCAAACAGGTACAAAAAAATAACTATTAAAATTTTTGGGGTAAAATAGGGACAAAACCAAACTCTGGGTTAAATGTTTGTTATTTAAATTTGTGATGCAACATTTGCACTAGTAGCCTGTTTTTGTTTTTAGCAATAGCTAAAAATGTGTGACATTAGTCAAAATTATCCATTTTTCTTTTATACCAAAAATCATTAGTATATTAAGTACATTTCCCACTGTAAATACACCAAAAAATTAACTTTTTGGTTAGTAATTTACATTGTTTAGAACTTAAGTTGGAGTTTTGATATGTTATAACCCTCAGATTCGATGATATCTCAGCCAAATATTGTCATATCCTATCAAAGGTAAGCTTTCAGATAATGCATAAATCTCAATATCCAAATATCAACACTAATGACTGGCTTTGAGGTCCAGGTTAGCTACATTTGACCAAATAACCCAAAAAAATTTTGTGTGCAGTTATCTAAAACCAGCCTGAGAGCCCTAAATTTGTCAGATTAACGCCGGTCTAAATTGGTTTGTCAGATTAATGACCAGACTAAACCCATTCTAGACCACCCAATGACCAATATAAACCCTGGTTGATATCCTGCATTATTCGACCAGCTAATGACCACATTCCAAAGCACAACAACCGTTTTGCAATCACTTGTTTTATGGCGAAATGTGGACGCTAGGATGAAATCCTGAGATATTTTGATGCAAACAGTTACAAAAAAATGACTAATAATAATTCTGGGGTAAAATATAGGCAAAACCAACATCTGAGTTAAATGTTTGTTATTTAAATTTGTAATCCAAAACTCGAATTGCACTGGTAGCATTTTTTGTTTTTGTTTTTAGCAATAGCTAAAATGCACAATACCGGTCAAAATATCCACTTTTCTTTTATATCAAAAATCATAAGTGTATTATCTAAGTTTTCCTCTCAAAACTCTTTTTTTTTGGTTTGTAATGTACATTGTTTGGAACTTAGTTTGGACACTTTAAACTAAAGGTGATTTTCTCAGTGTTTTGATATGTTTGAACCCTTAGATGATTTTTACATGTATTTTACCCAAATATTGTCATATCCAGACAAAGGAAAGCTTTCAGATAATGCAGAAATCTCAATATCCATAAATCAACACTAATGACTGGCTTTGTGGTTTAGGTTAGCTATATTTGACCAAATATAACCCAACATTTTGTTGGTGTGCAGTATCTAAAACTGGCCTGAGAGCCCTAAATTTGTCCGATTAACGCCTGTCCAAATTGGTTTGTCAGATTAATGACCAGACTGAACCAATTCTAGACCACCCAATGACCAATATAAACCCTGGTTGATAGCCCGACCAGCTAATGACCACATTCCAAAACACAACAACCATTTTGCAAGCAAGAAATCCCTTGTTTGATCAAGCATATGGTGAAATGTGCACGCTTGGGTAAAATCCTCAGATATTTTGACGCAAACAAAATAAATACCGCGTACGTTCGTACTGCATTTTATGCTGCATTTACGCCTCCGTTGTCAAGGAGAGGCGTCTTACCTGCGCCGAAGCCGTGCGCACCACCAAGTACATAGCCGACAGCAGGGTCAACATTTTCAAGCAGTGTGTCCCTCGAAGTGTCCGACGGAGTGTGTTTCCCCCCTCGAATGCAGTGTTTTGGGACGCGCTCAGACGCAGAGAGGTGCGCGCGGTAACCCGAGCTCCGGAGACGCGCAAGAGCCGCTTAATTTCCTCGTTTCACCGTCAGCCGTTCACACCTAATGAGCTTTAGGAGACATAAATAGCTCGACATCGAGTAATCTTTCCGCCATTTCTGATCACAAGGCTAAATAAATGAATGAGCTATTGCGGGATGCGAAATTTGGGGGGTGACGTCAGTGTGGGATTGATGCTGCAACGCCGAGCTGAGAGGATAAAACATCCCTCATAGAGCTTCAGGTTTCCACATTTCCACGAGCACACAAAGACAAGTGGTTTAATAGCCTATTCTATTAACGCAGTGAGCAAGACATTTCATTGAGGCTCATTGCTTTTATTTATTTATTGACTGACTGATTGGTTGATTGAATGCTATCGGATAGCCAAGGCCTTCCCGACTTTGCGGTACATTTTAAAGTCCCCATCATTTCTTAAAGGGATAGTTCACCCAATTCACAACATTGAGGAATGTTGATAATGGTAACCAAACGGTCGTCTCACCATTGACATTCATTAGATAAAAAGTAGGGGTTCAATGATTAATACGACATGACTGCGAGAGCAAATGATGAAAAAATGTCTGTAATACAGACAATATTAAAGTCAGTGTGAAATCAGAATTGAGAGGTTTTTTTAACCACATTGTTATTCTTTATGAGTAAACAAATAATCTGTGCAAGTCAACTCACTGATAAAAACATGCTAATGTTCAATCAAGTTTTGGCCATTTGCTTCAGCATTTGGATTGGCGGTGCTTCACTGTTGACGTCAGTCAGTTCAGCCAAAATATTCTTAACCACACCCCTCTTATTAGGCTGCATCAGAAATCACCTGCTATACTCGAGTATGTACTACATTTGAATTTACTACAAGACTGTAAAAAGTACGTTAAATATGAATCTGAATAGTAAAATTGGATTTCAAATTTGCCATTTGTCATTATACCGTGACCTACCATGGGACAGTTGCATCTTATGATTATTTATGGGGGCTCGTCCGGGATCATTTAGTTATAGATTTTAGTTTGGTTTAAAATAAAACATAACACATTTATTTATTTATTATTTTTATATTGTTAGCCCCCCTAAGATGTTTTTTTAAAATTCAACTGTTGTCCAATGACTTGCTTAATTAACCTAGTTAAGCCTGAATAAGGCACTTTTAGCCGAATATCTTGCAAAATAACTATTAAAATATTATGTACTGTCATCATGGAAAAGACAAAATAAATTTGTTATTAGAAGTTACTTTTAAAAACTGTTATGTTTACATGTGTAAAAACTCTGTTAACAGACTGGGCAATATTTCAAACAGAATTAAAATTTAACAAGACGACTAATGATTTGGGCTTCACCTATATATATATTTTATAACTGCTGCAAAATAATCAGTTCATTACTCTCTTTGGCTTGCAGGCTTGCATTCAGCTGGCAATTACCAAAGCATTTTAACCATTAATGTGTTCATGAGATGTCTTGAACGAGTTAGCAACATTGTAAGAATGCAATGCATAAATCACTGCTAAACCCTGACCTTGCAATTGAGTAAATTATAGGTTGTATACTTTATTGTGGGCGACGCAGTGGCGCAGTAGGTAGTGCTGTCGCCTCACAGCAAGAAGGTCGCTGGTTCAAGCCTCGGCTGGTTCAGTTGGCGTTTCTGTGTGGATTTTGCATGTTCTCCCAACATCCGCGTGGGTTTCCTCCGGGTGCTCCGCTTTCCCTCACAAGTCCAAAGACATGCAGTAGAGGCGGATTGGGTAGGCTAAATTGTCCGTAGTGTATGGATGTTTCCCAGAGATGGGTTGCAGCTGGAAGGGCATCCGCTGCGTAAAACATGTGCTGGATAAGTTGGCGGTTCATTCCACTGTGGTGACCCCAGATTAATAAAGGCATAAGCGAAAAGAAAATGAATGAATGAATGCTTTATTTGATCTCTACTATAAGAAATATGGGGGCTCGTCCGGGATCATATAGTTACTAATTTTACTTTGAATTGAAATAAAACATAATAAAGATTTTACATTGTTAGCCCCCTTCAGAACGTTTCAATTCCCGACAGAACAAACCACTGTTGTCCAATAACCTGTCTAATTAATCTAACTTGCCTAGTTAACATGTACAGTAAAAGACACTTTAAGCTGAATATCTAGCAAACTAACCAGTACAAATAATATGTACTGTCAGCATAGCAAAGACAAATAAAATGAGTTATTAGAATTTAGTCTAAAACTATTATGTTTAGACCTGTGTTAAAAAAAAATCTCTGTTAACAGCCTGGGCTATATTTTAAACATAATAAAAATTTAACAAGACGACTAATAATTTGGTCTTCACCTATATATATTTTTTAAAACGCTGTAAAATAATCAGTTCAATACTCTCTTTGGCTTGCATTCAATTGGCAATTACCAAAGCATTTTAACCATTGATGTGTTCGTGAGATGTCTTGAATGAGTTAGCAACATTGTAAGAATGCAAAGCATAAATCACAGCTAAACACTGACCTTGCAATTGAGTAAATTATAGGTTGTATACTCTATTTTGATCTCTATTTTTGAAAAAATACAGGGGCTCGTCCGGGATCAAATAGTCACTTATTTTACTTTGGTTTGACATAAAACATAACAAAGATTTTATATTGTTAGCCCCTTTTAGAATTTGTTTCAATTCGCTACAGAATAAACCTTGTTTAATAACTTGCCCAATTAACCTAACTTGCCTAGCTAACATAATTAGTTAAGCCCATAAAAGGAACTTAAAAATACCCAGTAAAAATAATATGTACTGTCAGCATAGCAAAGACAAATAAAATGAGTTATAAGAAGTTAGTCTAAAACTATTGTTTACATGTGTGTTGAAAAAAAACTCAGCATGAGCAATATTTGAAACAGAATTAAAATTTAACAGGAAGACTAAAAATTCGGTCTTCACCTATATATATTTCTCATTACTCTCTTTGTTTTGCCTTCAATTGACTATAACCAATGCATTTTAACCATCGATTTGTTCAATAATTTGCCACACGATGGAGGCAAAGTACCTTTCCTAAAGGCACAGGTGAAATTCAGCTGTGCTTCTAACATCCACCAGAGGGGGGCAGTAGAGCATGACAAAAACTCAAACTGCATCTGGTGACAGTCAAACCACTCAATCATCAATGTGATCCGCCACTTGCGTTGTACAGTAGTACTAACACTAAGACATTCTTAGGCCTGCTTTCAACACTTGCATTTAAAACACCACCATTTCACAGCCAAACAAGCTTCTCTGAGTATCTGAAGCATGCATGAGGACAGATCTGAATGAGCCTGTCTGTATGAGACCGCATTCCTCACTCAGCACTTCTTCCGCTTGATTAAACCGCCCAGAGCCTTTTTAACACAAGTCATAACCTGACCTCCAAACACACTGGCCCACTTTACTGCTTCACACAGCTCTTTATTAACACCTGTCAGACGAGCGAGAGAGTTTTGTCAGTTTTTCGCTCTCATTACAATTCGTATTGCTGTTACTAGAATTAGGTTTAACTACTATAGGAGAGGCATTGATATTGCTGTTTATCTTGAGATCTACTCTATCTAACCAATACACTCATCTAAGACTGTGTGAACATTTAAATGCATTTAAATAAAGTCTGTGCGAATTTATTTTGCTAAAGCTAATTTTAGGTGAGGGGCAACACAGTGGCTCAGTGGTTAGCACTGTTGCCTCACAGGAAGAAGGTTGCTGGTTTGAGTCCCGGCTGGGTCAGTTGGCATTTCTATGTGCAGTTGGCATGTTCACACACATACACTACGGCCAATTTAGCTTATTCAGTTCACTTATAGCACATGTCTTTGGACTATGGGGGAAACCAGAGCACTCAGAGGAAACCCACGCCAACACGGGGAGAACATGCAAACTCTATACAGATATGCCAACTGACTCAGCCGGAGCTTGAACCAGCAACCACATTAATGTGAGACGATCATGCTACCGACTGTGCCACCGCACCACCCTATCTCACGGCAATTCGTGACTTTTTGATTTAGTGGCTAATTCCTATGAATTCGTACAATCTCATTTATACAGTTTAGTACGATTTGCTAATCCCCCAATGACGCTTGGGTTTAGCGGTGGGGTTTGGTGCCATGCCTCCTTTTTAAAATCATACATTTTCAACCCAGGCTTATTCTGACATACCCCTATATACATTTTTGAAGAGCGTAATATACGTCCCAGGAGCTGTTTTGCAATTTTTGTTTTCACGAATTCGCCTGAGGGCGCTGTGTATGCTTTTTGAGATCTCAAATTTCTCTCGCAAGTGCCATTTGCGCCTGCTGTTATCACACAAATCCACTAGAGACTCTGTCGACTGATTGACCAAATGGCCGTTTCTCCAACGATCCCCGTCCCTAAACCCAACCAATAGAGGAATTACCAACCTCGTCACACATGACGTCACATGGGTTCCTGGTTGCAAAAAAAGGCCGGTTACAATAGCAAACATGTTGTCTTGTGTTGTAGGATGCCAAATTCGAAAGTCTAAAAATAGAAAACTTAAGTCTTACCGTACATCACACTGCTCTTAATGCCAATCGCAGATGTCTTGGCTAAAAGGAAGCTGAATGGAGTGAGGACCTAATAAAAATTGCTGGACTCTGCAGTTCTCATTTCACATCAGGATAGTTCACGCTATGCTGAATCATACACCTCACTAGTTTTTGATTGCAGCAATGATTTCAGCAAAAACATTTAAACATGGTGAATTAATCTGCAGACACTGAATTCTTAGAATGAAACATACAAGTGTAAGTTCACATATACCCTGCCGTACAGGTGCAGTTTGCTGTCAGAATTTAGTTGTTCTGCTTGTTGATGATGACCCAGGCCTTGTAGTTCTGTCTTCTTTCCTTGTCCTTGGCTAGGCAGAACCTCCATTTTTAGCACTACATAGATTTGAATCTGGTAATCATGGATCATTATTTCTTGATGACCACACAGAACAATATTGTTGGCATCCAAACACTTGTACGCCTTTAACTTCTCTCTTGTAAAATCACTTGGAGTTTCAATGAGATTGTATATTTGGGGCTGCATGCTTGGCCAATTCATCTTATCCAATATCCATCGGGAGGGTGCTATCGCAAATGGACCTATCAGCCGAACGCCGAACGCTCACTTTAACGTTAATTTTGCTGAATCACTGTGCTTATCATTGGGTGTTATAATACGCTAAACGCATCATGTAAATAATGTGTATA